AGGGGGATACTTGAGCCAATTTATTGTCTATTCTTTGGCCAACTATAGACCACATTTTAGTCATATCTGGTAATACAGTAGCAACTTTTACCAGGAAATCTTCCCATTTTCAAATCCCTTTATACCAGAATTTTCTTATCCCAAAATCCCAAAAATTGTGCCACCCCATTCTAGTAACTATATAAATGCAACCCCATCATAGTCAATCCAGTTGTGAAAATATGACCCCATCCATGCAGTCAGGCACATCTACATTAGCCCATTACTAAGTATTCCCTCTCCCCCTCCCCCAACTGGAGCCCTGCTCCCCCTGCTCCATCACATTCCTCACTTTTGCCTGAATTGTGGACCTGTTTAAGTTGAGCCTATAAAATGTTGGGAATGTTAAATATTTTTATGCTACCTTATACCTTTTCTACCAAAGCACTGAGGTCCTCGTTGTCTTGAATTCTAAACAAGTAAAACCCAGTCAAAACTGCCATGAAGTGGAGGAGATGTGGCATCACATACTCTGTTAGTAAATGTTTACATTTTTTGAAAGCAGCTGGTTTCCAATCACCTGACTCTGAAGTTGCCTGAGTAAAAACATTGGTAACTGAAGGAAAAACTGAAGAGCTAATGTTCTTCCCTATAGTTTGGGAAGTAACACCACTTTGAACCATAAGATTCTTATTTATTCTGTTTAGGTCCAGAGAGAAAGTGTGTGTTGCTTTTGTTCCACCAAAGGAATTTCCGTCAGGTTTTATCAAGCTTCTCTGGTCATGCTGTGATTGCTTGGTGCCTTGAGATGTTTCTGGAGCCTTGGAGGTCTACATTACACACATTGAGAAGAGACATAAAAATCTTATCCAACATATTGATGACTTTAGTTTGGTGACATGTGCAAGCTTGTCATATTTTGCTTGATCTTATCATGCATTAGACTTGCTATGAAAACTCTGATTGGTCAAGGGCATACAGTCAATATACAATAGCATGTGAAGTTGATATGATAACCCAATATCTGCTGCAGATATTGGGTTATCATGTTGAGTTGAAAGTCTGCCTAGTTTTCAAGCCCCTTGTCTGTTTAGTGCTCTTCAACTTTTGCAAACTCAGAGGAAAGTGTCCTCTTTTGCAGATTGTTTAAAAATGTATAACAAAACAATTATTGATTTTCAGTTTTCACATGATATCAGGAATTATCAAATCTTGTGTCTGTGTTATTTGCCTCAGCCAAATCAGATATTACTCAGACCTCAGCATTGATAATTCATGATATTATGCTCAACCTCATCCAGTAATTGCATAATATCAAGGTCCTTTAACGCCCTTAAAGCAAACTCATGGGCCCATTCTTGATTGACAGATAGCTTTGGTATTTGCGCCACAGGGAAAGTACAGAACATACTTCTTTGGTTGAAAACCAACAATACTGACAATTATGGTATTTTAAAAAGCTTTATAAACATTAGCTAGTATCTTGTAAACTCTAACCCAACCTAAACTAAATGAATATATCAGTCAATCAATACTATGGATAGAATTTTGCTTTGAAGGAGGGAGATTTTTAGAGAGTTAAAGCTATAGACAGAGTGCATATTACAGAGAGAGGGGGGGGGGGGGGGGGGGGGGGGGGGGACTGACAGAGCATGTAAGGTAAACATATTTTTTACTTCAAATACACAGAATTAATGCACCTCATTGTTATTGACATCTAGCCCAAGGTTGCAGGATATAAGATGTGAGGCATAGGTAAAGATGATCAAACAAAAAAACAAAAATGTGTAGAAAATGTTAACCACTTTCCAGAAGGAACATCTTTGACGATAAGCCATTGAGCGAGAGCCAAATGGTCGCCAAGCAACCTGAGAAATATAATTGATTCGTTTTTTAGAAATCAAAGTAAATTTTCAATTATTAACTTACATGTAGAACATGTTGGATAATTTACATTGTATGCTGGAAGCAATGCAACATTACAATCATAACAAAAAATGTTGCAGCACAATACAGAAAGGTTTTTAAATAACTGTCTAAAATATACTCTGAGTGATCAAGACAGAGTTTCTCCTTACAATACCAATAAAATATCAAACAGATAAGTGATGAGAATAAAGAAAAATATCAGTTTGGGAATAATTAGTTGATCCAATATTAAATTCTCTGAATTAACATTATAAGAATTGTATGGTTGACAGTCAGGAGAATTAAAAAATTGATCTGGGAGTTAAAGGGTTAAAATATGTTTACTGTGTTATGACCAACCATAAGGGAGATCTGGATGTCTGTAAGAAAACCAGATACTGATTAACAATATTTTTATAGTGAAAATTTCTCAAGCAATGTTTTATTTTCCCCTAGTAAATCACATCTCAAGGGCCTTTGCAGTTTCCATGGTTTTCTGAGTTCCACAAGAAATGCTGACAATATTTTGTACAACTGTTTTCCAAACTTACCAAGCATAGAATATAGAGATAAGGGTAGATAACCTGACGTTTACATTTGAGCAAAAGGCTGGCTGTTGAGCTGCTGTTGTCTTCTTGAAGAGCACTTTGGTCCCTGATCTGCAGTAAAGACATTTTATAAACATCACAAACAACGAAAACCTGAGCACTTTTTTACATTTGGTACTAACATTACTTCTTCAATGCATCACATTAAATCTAGTCAATTTTAGTTACCCACAAGCTAATGACCAAGCTTGCTCCTCAAGTTCTCAGAAATTATTGTGGTAGGAGAGGAATACCAGTACTCTGGTTGGAGTCACATGACAACACCTAAGTGGCAACCCAACTCACTCAGGAGGCAATAATTGAATTGGGGTGACTGTGCATTAGGATAATGTGACCTGTATTCATAGCATTAGTCAAATTTTCTATTGCACCAAGGGGATATGATGGGGTAACCTGATGAAAATTCCTTAGATTCAAAGCATGAATCAGGGTTGGTTACCCAGGGACTGGATGAAGGAATAGGGTGTGGTCAGTAGCTTAGGGCTGCACTCGCCCCATAAGAATTTGAACCTCATTTTATGAGACAAGCCTCAAAAAGTTCAATTTCTTTTACTTAATAGAATCTCTGATGAAGGCCTAGTGTTAGTTTCTTCAGGATTTTTTAACTTTTTTATTTCATCTCATCAAGGACAACTGAACAGGAGAATCACTGTTTATGTAATATTTTCACCCTTTAACTCCCAGAAGTGATAAACACGTAACTTCTCCCTAAATTATCCATATATTATCCAGCAAACAGGTGATGAGAAGATTCATACTTATTGGCTAGAGTTTGTTATCTCGATCTGATTTGTAAGGAAATGTGTAGCAGCTAGAAGGGAGAATTAGCAATCAGATCTTGGGAGTTAAACGGTTACCAGAAAATTCCGTTTTTTCCCCCGAAATATGCAGCGTCTTACTGACTAAACTGATTTTAATACTCTTCTAAAATTTTAATAAAAGAGAGCGAACTTCCTTTTCGTGATTTCCGCGAAACTACGAAACAAAGTGACGTCAGTTTACAGATTTATCACAAAAATTTCATTAAAAAAACATGACGTTACGATATTGTTCTTCCTTTTTTGACGTGCATAGCTGCACAAGCCCTCAAAACTCAGTTCTGTTAAGCAAAAGAACTTCCTTAAAAGCCATGGGGGCACAGTCAAACCGCTATTCTCACCTCAATGTTTGTACTGTCCCAGATGTCTGTGAATGATGATCCACCATAGCGGCTAGAAACAGTAACCGTACCAGCATCTTCCAGCTCGTTTAATCTGTCGTCGCGATTTCTGTGCATTGTTTGTCGTAAAAAAAAAAAAAGCAATGAAGAAAACGAATAAAACCAGAGCAATTCTTTGCTCTGCAGCGACTAGGTAAACGTCAATTGAAAACACTTTTCACTAGCCCATTACATTACATCATCTGGATGTGGACAAACTGTTGACTTACTGACCTGTATCCAGTTCACATGACACCTGATGAAAGTGTCATGTGAGTGACGACGCTGTCTTAGAAAAGTAACACTCGTTTCTCGGAAAAAAGATGGCGCATACCAATTCTTACAGTATAGTTTTTTCAATTCTTTACATAAATGTATCATGAGTTCAATCCTCAGCCAGGAAACCTGACAAAACTATCCCTTGGATACAAATCAGGAATATAGCCCATAAAGGAAAGATATAACGCCATATATGCAATAAGTCTTCACTTCTTATACAAGATGCACAATCAAGACAAAATAGAAAAAGAAAACGTAACTCTTGGGACTGTTTTCCTCATTGTCAACCTATTGCAACTGGAAGTGGTTGCGCACGATTGCGTGACATCAAGCAACACCCGGAAATCAACATTTCTTTCTCACTCGGAGGCAAATATGAGGAGAAAAAGCCGCCTGCAACAGAGTTCTTTTCAACGTTTGACATGGTATAGTTAGCATTGTTGGAGAGAATTATGTAAAATTAGATAAATTTTCTAGTCTAAGGGCAATTTGTTAAAAACTAACGGAGATACGACTCGGCGAACGACTCAACTGAGTCAGTACTTCCGAAATCGGACGAAACTGTCCAGAATAGGACGAAGGCGTCCGAAACAAAACGGCAGCGGACGGGGGATGGAGGGGCGGACGTAAGACTATGTTAATTTCATATAAAAAGGTCAGCTTTTGAGCGACAAGACCCATCCTGTCGTGGTTCATTCTGAAGTAACATGATACAAGCTTGTCTCGGCCAATAACGCAACGAAAAGGAGCAGAGACGTTTTGGAGAAGCGCACGGCAATCGAAACAGGAATGGAACTAATTTTAGCGCGCTCTGATGTCCATGGAAGGTCCTTGTTTTAGCACACCGACAAGATGGACATCTGTGGCCCTATAATGTGTAGTTGCTCCGCATTTCAAATCAGACTTTACATAAAACATTTCAACACCTATCGAGTACATTGTCATCTAGAAATATTCTTATATTTCACATTGCTTTACGAGTTCGGAAAATTTGTTAATTATTACAATGGTAATAATTATAACAATCTTCAAATTTTGTACAGTTTAGAATAATTATTACAGATTTTACAATTATTACAGTTTCAATAATTATTACATATTACAGATACCGGTAATCTTTGTAAACAATATTTAAAGAGAATTTCTTTGTGAACGATAAATCTTACATCACTAGTAAGCACGTCTTGTTCACAATGGATTCTTCTTCACAAATAGATAATCAAGTTATCATACTTTGTTCAATATACTACTGTCAAAGTAATCTTCATGAGAAAGAGGGACACTTATAATGCAGATATATAAAAATATATCTGCAACATTTGTCATTGACAATATTCAAATTATATGCCGAAGACTAGCAAATGGATTTTTACATCAGTCATTTCTTCAATTGCTGTTATTATTCATTATATGATAAGCTAAAATATTCACTCATTTTTTGATCGGTTCTTACTCATGATCTGTTGAAGAGGACAAAAGCATCAGTGACACACTCGGCTGTGCTTCATGTGCTACTTTGTTGTTTTAACTACATTTTGATGTTATCTGTGATCTATTCCTGAAAAGACCTGCAGCAACATGGAGTACATTTGCTAATAACTTGCTGGATACCAAATGCAACAAATGAAACTTCTTTTTTCCAGAAAATTGTTACTTGCATATCTACTTCAATATTTGACATTGGTCTATGCAGTAATTTATCAGAAAACCTGTTTTTTTTCTTTTTTCATTGAGAAAAAATTCAAAGGAAATTTTCATACAAAAAGCAAAATTAAAGTGAACCAGCAACACAGCTCTTTTAACGTAAAAAAAGTTTCTCTCACAAGAGAATGCTCAACAAAAGGTAGATATGGTAGAAATTTGAATACTTCATTCAAAGATATTATTTTTCAGATATCTTACCCTTACAGGTTTTTGCTTGAAAATCAATTAATATGATTGATAAATTAATTAAGACAGAAAAGATGAATGAAGCACAAAGGATGTCATAAATGCTGATCACCCACTGTTATCCAAGCCATTTGCTTAGGTTTACTTCTTTAGATAAACTGTAGGTAGTCTTTTTGATCCTCTCTGCCAGGGGCACAAATAAGTGTCACATCAAGGTCCTGCTCACATCAAGGTCCTGTTCACATCAGGGTCTTGTTCATATCAGGGTCCCCTTCACATAAGGGTCCTCTTCACAATGGGGTCCTCCTCTCAAAGGTATTTATTCTTGCCAGCAATAATGCCCAACTGTAACATGAGTAGGAGTACAAACACCACTACTGCCACAACACCAGACAGAAAAGAGAATTGAACTGGCATAAACAGCAGCTTGGCCTGGGAGATGAAGAGACAATTATCCTTTGCCAATACCTTGAATGCGGTTATTAAGTTAACTAAAGTTGAAATCTTCCCTCCTGTTAAAACAGTTTGTAGTGCAAACACGTCACAACATGCTTTATGGACGTATGATCCATAAGTATGGCAATGGACCCATGGGCCAAAGAAACTTTCAATGAAATGTGGGGGGGGGGGGGGAAGGGAAAGGGAACTGAACCCTATCTTCCCCAAGAGTTCCCCCCCCCTACTCCACCATCCTTGTGAAACAAGCTGTCCTTAATCAAGATACTTAAGTTACCTTCATTTCAGCACTGTGTGTAAACAATACAAATGAATCCAAATCCAGTTGAGAAGCAGAAGGATATCCAAACACTCTGATCTGCAAACTATTCTGTTTAAGTTTACGAGCAGCTGAAGTCAAACGAGCAGCCTTGAAAGACAAAGAATAACCAGTAAATAACATAATCATATACACTTTGAGAATATGGAACATTTAGTGTGAAGGCAGATTTTAAAGTTAGCTTAGCAAGGACAGCAACAACAACAACAATGACATTTCTACTTGTGTAAAACGTTCTTTATATCAACCCTTTACACCCCAACATCAATATGCATATTCTCCAACTGTTCTCTATATGCCTTCTAAGGTGTTGAAGGGACAGTTTGTTCAACAAACAAGAGCTTCTTTAGCTGGTGATCATTTCCTTTATACATGTGGCCTAAATGTGTAATTCAGGGATGATATTGTAAAGAGAAATTAGAAGCTACTTAGGCATAGGGGTCAAAGAGATTATTAGAAAAATGAAAAAAAAAATAGAAAGGTGAAAAAAACAAGGAAAGAAGAGAGACCACATCCATATAGAAACAGTGAATGTACATCAAACTAAGAAATAAAAATGGTTTAAGCTACTTACGATAGTTATAGGGAAAATGATGATGGCAAAACTTATCAGTGGTTTAAAGATTCTGTACATCAGTTTTCTCCATTCTACTAATAATTTGTTAAACTGAAGTGACAAGTTACAAACCCCTAAAAAGAAATCCAAATTACCAAGATTTAGCTTTAATATTTACTGCAAGTCCTAAGGCTTTGAGACAACCTTACAGACAAGAATAAAAACTATGATGTACTGTCATAAAATCCAAAAAATTTTCAAACTTTAAAACTTTAGGTAAAAATTTGTGTTAATCTTTAATTACCTATCACAGAAAGTTCAAAGTAACTAAATATTATAAGAGTTGCAATCACTGATATAAGTCCATTCACTCTGGAGAGATTTTTCTTTACTTCAAGAATGTCCTAATGCAAAAATAAAAAGAAAGACAAGTACAATTGGGTTAGTGAGAGAGAGATCAGATAGATCCTGCAAATGGATGATCACCTTCCATATTTTCATTGACGATTTTGAAACTTCAATCAAATTTGGGAAAAGTTGACAACAGAAAATCATCTTATAATAATATACTCTGCTGAGACTGACACTTATACTATCAGATATATCTAGTACTCCTCCCCTGTTATAACCCTGTATCAAATTATCACCATCCCACCCCCCACCGTAAATCATGTTCTTGGTTCCAGTCTTCCTACTCTTCCATCCAAAAATAAAAGGAAAAAAGTCCTAAAGTCAATTAACCCTTTACCTTCCAGATCAAATTTGTACTTCTCCTTACTGTCCACCACACAATTTTTATAATGTTAGTTCAGAGAATTTAGTATTGGATCAACTAACTATCCCCAAATTGATATTTTTCTTATCATCACTTATCTGGTTGATATTATATTGATATTGTAAGGAGAAATTCTGTCTTGGTCACTCATGGGACTTAAAGGGTTAAGGGTGTGAGGGGAGGGGGGAGGGGGGTAAAGGCCAGAATATTTAACTACACCATTACCTTCATTATGCTGTCAAGATCTTTGGTTTTCTCTTCCATGCGCAATGTAATTTCACGAATATAGAAAATCAACAATTCACACTGTGCACAGTAATTTACAATAGTAACAACACTGACACATAACTCTACAAGTCGGCCCAGTCCCATTACAACTGCTGCAATCCGCTGAGCTCTAAAGATAGAAAAAATAAGCTTCAGTTACAAATTATAACCTATGAAGGACATAAACTAGGAAAGGATTTTTTTCCCAACAAGATAAAATGGGTCAAGCAAAGAGGGATGTCTGGCAAATAACTTAATTTCATGTTTAAATCCCTGAACTGCTAATTGATACAAATGAATATCAAAATCAGTAACACAATTTTTGGTATAATGGACCTGTTTAGCATCATAGCCCTATACTATCTGAACACAAATGCTCTAATAAGACCAAATACTAATAAGACCCCCTCTCTAAGCCCCTCTCTCTAAGAAGCCCCCTCCCTAATAAGTTCTCCTCTCTAGTATGTCCCCCTTCCATTTAGTCCCCTCTCTTATGAACCCCTTTCTGTCAAGCTTCCCTCTCTAATAAGGTAATTTAAAAATCTTTTAAAATTTAATTGCAGTGTGTGACTTGGCTGCCTTACCTTGGGTTTTTTATGAATCCTGTGACTGACTCCAAATTGTAGGCAAAACAAAACAAAATAAAATTACAGATGCCCAGGAACACTATGAAAAAACCACCAAAAAGGAAAAACCTGTCAAAGGAACAAAACTGACCATTAAATGCTTTCTGCCTGAAAACTAAGCTGGGTTAGTCAGCTCTCAAAAATTTTCATAAAAGCAAAGTTATAGGTTGCCAAAAGGCAAAATTTAGATGTCTTAGGCTTTGTGAGAAAAAAAATATTTTAAATAAGGTCTGGGGACTTTTAATCAAGGAGAGGTAATTTTGCATTAGGAGTTAGAAATGACTTTGTGGAATATTTAACAATTTGTTTCAAAGCATAATGTTGTGCTCTAATATTTTTCCTGATTTAAAACCCTTAAAACCAGATTTTGCTTCTCTTTGGCTATTAATCATTGAGGACTGATAAAATAAAAATCCAAATTGTTTCACAGAATTAAAGCAGGGAGAATTCTAAACACAACTGCATAATTCACTAAATATACATACACACAAATCAAAACTTATGTGTGTAGGAGAAACAGCACATACCGCAGCCTTGAGGTGATTCTTCTGGGAACTGAACTAAGCAAAAAAACCTGAGAAAAATTAAATGATCAAGTTGAGGGGAAGGTTTCACTACAATGAAACCAGAGGGGCTAAAGATTAATAATTTTGTTGGTAAGTTGACTACTAAAATGAATCTCAAAAAAAAGAAATGCCCTTGTCATAAAACTTTGCCACTCAAGAAGGTGACCACTGATAATATAAAATCTATCATGACACTTAAAACTGTAACATTTTAAAGCATACCTTTTCTATCAGTGCATGGAGGCCCTCACTCTCTTGAATCCTAAACATGTAGAATCCGATCAAAAATGCTAGAAAGTGAAGAATATCTGGTACCACGTATGTGCTAAATATATGAGTACACTCCATGACTGCTGAAGTTGATGTTTTATTTGTGTGGTTTGTTGTTGGCATTGTTGGCGCTGTGTTAATGTTGCCATGGTGAGAATTTGGTTGAGATTTTGGAAGTTTTGTTGCTGGTGTCTGGAATGATATAAACAGAGAGAAATGTCACAATCAAATGTGATTGAGTGACCAAGACAGAATTTCTCCTTACAGTATCAATACAAATCAAGCAGATAAGTAATGAGATTAAAGAAAAACATCAGCTAGGGGAATATTAGTTGATCCAATACCATGTTCTCTACACTTAAATCATAATAATTGAATAAAAGACAGTAAGGACAATTACTAAAAGAGATCTTAGGAGTGAAACACTACACAATGGATTGTATGCATCCACTGAATCCATTTTTACTTAAGAATGTGTTCACAAAACAACAATCTGCAACTAACAAACACACAGACAATTTGAACAGATGATTTGAAGGTATTACATACTAATATATGATGACTGTGGAATCTATTGGCAAACTGCTCCTAAGGGTAATCTAATCAGCTTTACTTTTTCAATGTGTATAAACGTCACAAATTAACCCCACAAGTATTAACCCTCTGACCCCTTAGAATGACTAGCATCTAATTTCTCCTTACAATATCACCCCCAAATCAAACAGTAGGGTCACGAGTATAGAGGAAATAATCACCGACCGGAGAGGCTTTCGATTATTTACAAAATTCTCCTTGTCAGCACCAAAGGAAATTTAAAGAGAACAGTATGAAGAATATGCATACTGATGTTAACTCTTTAACTCCCATGAGTGACCAAGACAGAATTTCTCCTTACAATATCGATACAATATCATGCAGACAAGTGATGAGAATAAAGAAAAATATCAATCAGGGGATTATTGGTTGATCCAAGACCAAATTCTCCAGAGTAACATTACAAGAATTGTATGACAGACAGTAAGGAGAATTACTATTGAAACCTCGGGGGTAAATGGGGTTAATAAGAGTTAATAATTCTACAAGCTGCATACCAAAGGTATCTCTAGCCTGGCTTGACAAGCTAATATGCTTGACACATAACTGAAGATAATCAGGACAAAAATAATCAGTGTGTATATAATGTTCAAGAATTTCCGCATTGAACATCCTTGGTAACGAAAGGATTGAATATTAAATGGTCGCCAGGCAACCTGAAAAATAAAGAAAATGACAGTCACTAGTATCAACTCTGAATCAAGGGGAAAGGAATTAACTGTTTGACCCCTAAGACTGATTAACATCTAATTTCTCCTTAAAATATCATTCCTGAATCACACATTAAGGTCAGGATACTAAAGGAAATGATCACTGACTAAAGAAGCTGTTGATTGTTTGATAAAATCTAATATACTGACACCAGGGTGCAGTGGCTTAAACTAAAAGTTATGAACTACAAGAAACAAGTTGAAGATAAATGATTTTCATCTTTTCACAGGCGTGGGATGAAGAAAAAATTCAGAGTCCCCATGAGGAATAACCCTCAAACATTTGAATTCTGTGCTCCCATGCTCTTCTACTGAACAACAGTGACTCTTAGATGAGCAAGGCCATTACAAGGTTCTTAAGTCAAAGCTGTTACCAAAATGCTTTATGCTGCCCTAGTGCAGATGATTAAATGACAAGAACTTTTGCTCTGTGTATAAGAGGGTAATTCAGTATAACCAACTGAGTTGATAACATAAATTGGCCAACATAAAGAGACTCAAAGCTGACATTTTGAGCATTAGCCCTTTGTTAGAGCAAAACAAGAGAGGGTTAATGCTCAAAACATCAACTTCTAAATTGTTTATAAAGGCCAATTTACATTTATTTATCACCTTAGCTGATAATACTAAATTACCTTGTTAAACTCTCCCACTGACGTAGCACAACAGTTTCTTAAGAAACTCACCCCCATTATTCGTCTGTATATGACTAATGAGTTACTCGTGGAATCTAAACTTACCAAGGAGAGGATGTAGAAATAAGGATAAATAACCTGGCTTTTACAAGTTAGCAACAAGCTTGTTGTAGCATTGTAGTCTCCTTTGTCTTGGTCTCTGATCTGTAACAAAGTCAGTTAACAAATATTACTAACAATAATATAACATTGGAGATACCACTCATAATGTTTAATCAAATACCACATTTACTCAACTAGTATCTCTTGCCCAACTAGAATAAGGGAGACACAGGTTCAAATCTCATTGAAGCCTAAATTTGTTTCAGGCTTCTTTTCTCCAATTGCTTGAGCCTTTAACTCCCAAGATCTGGATGGTCCTGTTGAGACCTTTTCTGTGTATTTAGAAGGGGTGTCCCCCCATCAAGGACATAACAAAAGGGAGGAGGGGTTGAGGAAGTATCTGACCCCCCCCCCTCTTTCATCAACAATGAAAGTATTTGTGAGTAATAACTGTTTCCAAAATGGAGTGGATATTGACCCCTACTTTGTGTTAAGATATTTTTGTTGGCATTAAAATAATCGTTTCTCTGCTGAGACTATTTTGTCCCAATAAACCCGAAAAAATAAGCAAATCGCATCGTAACCATCAAAAAACCATCATGATGATTAAAAATAACAATAATAAAGTGGTCAAATTTATGAAAGATAACATGTTATGTGGCAATTACTTGGTTGAAAATTTAAGACACTTGTGAACTGTTAACCAAGCTAGAAAAGCTTTGTTCAAACTAGTAAATAAGCAATGTTCGGATCAGGAACGCGTCACGACTTGGAAAAAATTACAAATGGGGAAGACAGAAGCACCTTTCCTCATTTGATAACATATAAAATTAAAGTTTAACTTCGCGAGAGAGATTGTGTAATATTAAACTAAAAACAACTCACGCATGTTCTCGAAAGATATAGAAAACCCTTAATTTACTTTCACAAATTATGTAACAATTCCGAAGTAATGCAATTTGACAGCGACGTGTACGCGATGCTCAAAACGAAACTGACCTTTCATCCGAACAAATGATCTGATTCTTTGAGCCAGAATGCGTATATTCATATAAAGTTTAATCAAAGCAATTACATTCTTACCTCGACGCTTGAGTTGTCCCAGATATCAGCAAAAGATGATCCACTTCCCACAGTATCCTCCAATTCATTCAATCCTTCAAGTTTTCCTTCGGTTGAGCTATTTATGTTTCCGTTTCGCCCTGCAAGCATTGTACGGGGTAAAAGTCTTCGTAGCGCTGACCTCTGCCGCACAACAGAAAATATTATCTCATGAGCAAGAATTTTGCTGCCCTTGACAGTAATAAAAGCTCCAAATTACCAGAGTTGTGCTGCTGTAGACTGCGTCCCAACTGTCACCCTGAGTTCTCCTGTGCTCAGCTGACATCTCCTGAGACGACAAGTACACTTGTTTGTCTTGCATATTTGTTATGCTAATTAAGGGCTCGTCCCTCTGTGGGTCTCTAATTCACAGTAAAATAAGGTACCATGGGTTACCCCTACTCCCTCCACCCCTGCTCCGCGCGCTATGGGATCAAAGCTCACTGGAGAATCGTGAGGTTGAAAGTTCAGTGAACAATATTTCAACCGAGCCAAAATAATTTCGAAACAAACGAAATATCCCATAGTAAGTAGACAAAGCAAAAAAGGACATGCCTGAGCGCAGGTCAAGTGTACGTGATGGCTAAGGGAGTGTTGTAAATTCAAGAGCGGTGCAACAAACGAGTCATACAGCCCGTAATCATATAAAACGTTTTCAATTCCCTATGTGTCGCACAGATTTTGTTGGTAAAAGAAAAAAAATGTTTATTTCGTATTGCAAGAGCATATTTCGAGTGAGAATAACATTTTACGAAAGGATTAACATTGTCACAATTCCATCATGGTGGGTCCCAGAAAGGTCCCGAAAGGAATAGAGTGGGCTACCAATTACACCGTACCCCCTCCCCCAGTCAGTCAGTCTCCTGTAAAAACACGCTTGCTTCTGAAAAGGCTTATGGTGTGAATAAGAGGATTGTAGGAAAATAACAAAGAACATGAAACAGAGAACACTTGATCACACAGAGAACACACGTAGGGTATCATTCTAATGTTGTAAAGAGCTCTTACATTTTGTAATAAAGTGATAACAGGATTACTAACCATTTCGCTTTATTAAAAAACACGGTAAATCTGTATTTGCACTTTATTCTAGCTCCGACAGCAATCTCTGGAGTCTAAGAAAAATATCTAAAATAATAAAATTTAACAATTATTTTGGGCATTATTTGCTACCGTCACTCAATGTTAGTGCCTTATCATTCAGGAACCTCACAGATTTGGAGGCTACAATTTCACACATATCAGTATTGAAGTTACGAGGAAGCTTTTCATGACCTTTGGATCTTTTTTACTTTACGTTTTACAGCGTTCTTTTTAACAGATGAGCGACACGAGATATAGCTCGTTTGCATATTAGGAGCAGGACCGTTCAGTCAGTCGATAAAAACCGTATTAAGACGAGCAAAATAAATTTCGGTAGTACACTGATAAAAAAAAAGCTTAGTATCTAAATCAAGAAAATCACAGCGAAATGGTCGCATGTCATACTGTAACGATTTCAGCTTTTCGTTCAACTCATGTTGCAATAATTAGGTCAAGTTAAAAGCGTTCTGTACAAAATTTTCTTTTTTCACGAACAAGGTCCCGCCTCTAAAGTTAATAAATAAATCACACTATTCGTGCTCAATGTTCGGAAACCGAAGTTTCCGAAAATCTTACGATTGTACAACTGACCGATAATAAACTAACGCAGGCTCTGTTCACTAAATAAAACGAGTTTCGTGGGTCAGAGTTCGATTGGTCCTCTAAAACTCTAAAAGACGTATTCAAAAAGATTTTTTAAAAAACCTACAACACTGTTTAAAATAAATGGCTTACTCTCAGAAAGCATGCCGTTAAGATCGAAAAATTTCTTGAATAAAGGCTGAGCGCTAACTCTCTTAGACTACAAACTAACTCATTAAAATTCACATTTGACAACATGATTTAAAGATACCGAATTCAATGTAAAAAGATTAACGCAATTTAATTAACGAAAACTGTATTTACATGGATAAAAAAAGACTTTATACAGAGCTTCTCGAGAGAAGTTATTCTGTGCTTTCAAAGTTGCAATTATACTTTTCCACGTTAAATTTCGGTTCTGCTTTGTTTGTTTTGTTTTGGCTTTCACTTTTGTTTACAAATAATTAAATCTTACCCCTTAAAATGTGTTACTACAACGTAACCAATAAATTATACTGTTAATCTTTGCAAAAAAATCGAGAGCTGAATCTTTTCACTGCTAAAGCACACTTCTCAGGTCAGTGTGATAAGGGAAAAAACTAGACGAAGGTCTTCTAAGCTTTAAACCCCAAAGAAGAAAACCTATTCCGAGGAACACGTGAAATCTCTGCAGGTTCCCTCAGGTAGATTACGAACAAACGTAGCCACCACTGTAGCCCTGTGAGCTCTCTCTTTCATGAGGCGTCATTTCATTTCCGTCCCAAAGAGCAGTTTGTGTAAATATTAGTAACCAAAGTTTTTAAATGTCTTGCTTAGCGTCATGAAGTAAATCTGGCCACTTGAACTCGACCGAGAAGCGAAGAAAACCTGCCATGAAAAATAAAAACAATGACAGCAAAGTGACAGTGATATAGTGTGACAACAAATCGTCAAACGAAAAGCGTGACCATGTTACGTGACAAGTGGCACGAAGATAATAAGAGACTGACCTTTTCGTTTCTCTCACAGAGAAATCTAAACGTCTGAGCTCTTTTGTGCATAAACACACCATCCAAAAGTCCCGTCTCCACAGATCTAACCTCGATGGCTTTTTCTCCCCATCCCATTATTTGTCCTGAGCCTATGTGAGCTGCAATAATAGTTGAAACTGAGTAAGAATTTTTTTCGTCTTTTCACGAGCGTGGAACAAAGTCCCCATGAGGAATCGAACCTCAGACCTTCAGATTCCGCGCTCCGGTGCTGTACCACTGAGCCACAGAGACCCCACGGTGAGCGAGGTCTATCACGAAGTTTATATATGACACGCGTCCTACATACTGCTAGGATCAGCAATGTCGATAGCGTCATGTTTTGTAAATAAGGGAAGAAAGATAGTGAGTTTTGAGCTCGGTGAAGAATGGAGAAAGATGGTTTGTTTTTCTTTGTCCCCACTCGTGACAAGACGAAAAAAAACCATCTTTCTTTGTTTCTTTACCGAGCTCAAAACCAACCATCTTTCTTATTCTATTTACAAAAATAGTTGAGATTGTGAAAAGTAGAGCGCTTTTCGATTGGGTGTCGCTAAACCAAAACAAAACGAATCACAACGGCCAATCAAGGAAATGGTTAAAATGACAAGAAGCCAACGGGAACTCAGAACTGTCAAAATGTCTGAAGCGCGGGAAAACGCAAACGACCAAGTCGTGATTGGTTTTTAGTGAGGAATTTGATTGGTTGAGAAAGTGGCACGTGTTTTCTGGACCAATCACAGCGCTTAGTAGACTTAAGCAGAACCAAAACAATCCCAAATCCCAAACCCTCAAATTTGACTGAGTACGAGGATGCCAAGGATATTTTCAAAAGCGAAAGTGCTTCTCTCACAGCGCCAGATAACCGCCAAGTTGTGAAAAGTACTGAAAAACTAACTTAGCGTTTGACAAAATTAACAAAAATAATCAGAGACCGAAGAAGAATAAAACCTAAGGGAATTCATATCTACAAAGGAGATAAAACTTACCGATAGCGTATGGAGTCTCGCCCCATTGTAACACGGCATGCCTCACCAGTTCTCCGTTGGTATTAACGTAAACGCCTTCATCTAGATAAGAAGTAGGAGGATAACGACTCTGTGTTAAAATAATCGTAACAACATAATTTAAACGACCAAAATATTTCTTCAAATTTGGAACGGTGTCATTTGCTTCCATCCAAGTTAGGATCCTTACGTCTCATTATAGGTGATTACGTTCGAATTGGGAAGGTTTCGCCTTTTTTTCGTTCCGTTTAATCTCCGACGATTCGGCCTGATTTGGTCGATTTCGTATTATTTCGGAAGGTTCCCTACGACTACGGACGGTTACGGACGGACAAAACAGTCGGGAATCGGACCGACCGTCCGACTTTAGGTGGAAACTCAAAGATTCGATGGATGGTTATGGATGGCGAATTTCAAAACGGTAAAGCAGCCTGTCTAATTAAATTAGTTATGCATCCGTACTTACTGTTAAAACAGAGAAGAAGTTCCAAACCACTCGAACCTAAAACACAACGTAAACACTTAATTAAAACCAGCAAAACAATATCGAAAAAGGCTAAGACAGTTTTTATTCATAAAAGCGCTCAACTCCTGGTCGACTTATAAAACGACACAGTAAATATCTAATTTGATATCATTAAAAGAAACGGCTGACAAAATCACAAATTCTACTTAGTAGTCTCCATACAGTCTTCTCACATTAGTAAGGAGAAAATCACAATAATCCTTACTTGGTAGAGGAATAATAGCATGCGGCTGGAACTTTTCTTGAAGCTGTAAAACATAAGAAAAATTAAGAAATAAAAATGAACTTCTTTTATTTCCTTAAAAAATGTTCTTCAATTTTAACAAAAACAACATGAAAGAAATTTGTCGATCAAACTGACCTGAGTAGGAATAAATAAATCATTAACTGAAGCTGAGTCCAAGTCAACAGCATGAAAACCTGCGAAACAATCAACTTGATCAATAGGCAAATTCTCTCCAGTTTCCTCTCAGTATTCATATAAAAAACAAAGGAGAATGTAATTGTAGAGTTTTACTCGTAATGAGCTGGTTAATGAGTTTGGCCTTAGTCTGAGACTTATAGAGTTGTAGGCCATCTCCCGGTTCTAAAAGTTTTTTTATGTGCAAATGAATTGTATGCTCATAAGAATCAAATCTTTTCCATGTCACTGGTTTAACACTTACTCTCGTTATCAAACAAAGGCTTGGGGCATTTCAGAAATAGCCAACACCACCCGCTGGGCCCAGAAATTTGAGTGTCTTCTTACAAAGAAAGAATGTTTGATACAGTTTCTGATGAATACTTAGTGACGATTTTCTGTTTAACACAAGCAATGGTAACCTTGAGAGTGTAGCGGAGGTGGGGTGGGGTTCCAATGACCTACAATTTCTGATGAGCAATTGTGGATTGTCCCGTTTGCCACTAACAGTGGTAACCTTTGGAGAGGGAGGAGGGGGTAGTGGTAAAGGTAAGGTTGCACTAACCTATTTCAGAGGAGTAACAGACTTTTAGTCTGCTGTTTTCCGCCTCTATTGATACATTCAACATCAGAGGTTTCTGGGGTAAGTACGAGAAAGACTGAAGAAAGAAAAAAAAACACTTATTAATAATAACTAAAGGAGAGTGCTCGGAAAGTGTTTGGTGCAAGATATCCACGTAAGATCCTCTAGACTTTAACAGCAGGTCAAGTAAACTCTCCCCATTTCTAATCTACCCACCCGGTCGAATAGACAGGGGTGAGACTGGATAATAATTACTCAGTTTAGCTCACCTTAAAGGCCATAAACTTGTGATATGGTTTTGGAGCCCAAGCGTAAACTTCAATCATGTTCTCAGTGGCGATGGCAAGAAATTTGATTCGGTGGAAATTCACTGCAAGGTAAAAGAGTCGTTGGTCAATAATCACTGCTTCTATCTGGAATACGAGGTTGCGCGATGGTTACCACGCGGAATTCCGGAAGGAGGGCTGGGTTCGAGCCCTGACAAGACAATTTATTCGCATAGTACCTATCTCCACCCAGGCCTAAATGTGGATGGACGAAACGCGGACGACGAAGTATCGAGGGGGTAGGTTTCATGTAATCGAAATCGGAAAAACATTCGTGAAAAATTCTTGTGGTGAAGATTTGAATCAGTCTTACCAACTTTGTAGTGAACACATCCCTCCAGATCACCGACTGTTGTGTAACCTCGCTGCCTTCGGATATTCTCCGCCTGCACACAAATTAAAAAAAAAAAACAGAAAAGAAAACACATAAAGCATTACAGACAGACACCTGGGAAAAATACACAAACATTTTCGTTTTATCTGCGAAAAATGTAGACATATGGGCTCTAAAGAACCATGAGCTTCTATACCTCTTCTCCCTTTAGAATCTTCGCTTTCAGCCATGACAGATAATACACACGGAGTTTGTTTTGTTTTCCTAGAAAGGAGAAAATAGATTAAATTTTTAAAGATTGAGAAATGAAAACTTAGTTCGAACTTAGGCTCAACAGGATCTCAATGAGCTTGAAAACCAATCGATGAACAAAACGGTTCAAATGAACCTTTTACACCCCAACATCAGTATGCATATTCTCCATACTGTTCTCTGTACATTTACTAAGGTGCTGACAAGGAGAATTTGTCTTACAATCAAAAGTTTCTTTAGTTAGTGATCATTTCCTTTATTCTCATGACATTAATGTGTGATTCAGTGGTGACATTGTAAGGAGAAATTAGATGCTAGTCACTCTTAGGGATTAAAGGCTTAAAAGAACGAGATGAGGAGGATAGTGGAAAAAAAAACCTACCACTGATGGAAATAAGAACGTTTATCCCCTCAAGTACATCTATCTGTTGGAATCTGCGTCTAGATATCAATTGAAAAACTGAAAAAGAACGCCACAACTTGGGTTAGTTCTAAATTCAAGGAACAAGAACAGACAAACACACACACACACAAAATGACGACAAACAGCAAAAATACTAATACAACGAAGATCGAAAAAATTGGCGAGGATTAAAGTACACACAAAATTATCATCCACCTTTGCCATAACCACTCCGATCCAGTAAAAATAATCCACTTTCTGTTCCAACAAGAAGGTTGACTCCTGAAAATGTAGCACAAGGAGAAGATGTATTAGATGTTTATTAAATCAAAAGGCCACAAAAAGAAATAGTAAGTCACAAGACTGAGTACAAGTCTGTAAATTCTTCAGTACCCCATAGAGCTCCACATAAGATTTCTGTTCGGAATTTGTACTTGTACTTTCTTATCTGCGGCATCTAACAGAAGACAGGAATTAATAAATTTGTAAGTTTTTTCAAACTGTTATTTACGTCGTTTATGTACAGTAGAGAGCCTGCGCTAATTATTTTCTGCCTTTTCAAGCGAGCTGGGGCGTTTTAGCAACGCGGGTCACTTACACGCAAGTAAAGAGTGTGTGAGTCAGCTGCACGCGCGGAGGCGTGCAAGAGTCAGTTACACGCGGGGAAGGCGAACGCGAGTCAGTAACACGAGCTGTGGGCTGGCTCGGGTTCTTCACACGCGCGCTAGGCGAGCGCAAGAGGAAAATAACAATATTTTAATTGACGATTTTATTTGCCTGCCACTTGCAGTCCATTGCGCTCGCCCAAGATAACCAGGAAAAACAGTAGAGCCTGTTCTGGCGAACAACGAACGAGTCAACTTACTCCCAGATCGTCCAAGTTAGCGATTGAAGTTCTGTCAGGGGTCAAGTTCACCGACACCTCAGAGGGAGCCTGGGACTGACGACTGAAGCCAAAACTTCGTTGTTTGGAGAATTTCCTGTCTCTCCTAGGGTCCTGAGGCACAATGGAGGAGGCAATGGATTCATCTGATGACTTATGGCGCTCAGTCTGAGACTTCTGAATTGAGAAAAAATATATCATTAGTTCCTGAGAAGATGGCGAACGCGGCGGAGGAAAAACTATGTTTGAGAAGCAAGATTCAGTCAAAAGTTCCGAAAATGATTGTAGAAATTATTTATCAATGACTTATGAAATTTCAATGATACCATTCTCCTCTCTGAACCCTGCTCTGCACACATTGCAGACATGTGATATTTATTGCACAACGCCACTCCTCATACCTTTACTTGCTGTTGTGTTGGTAGCACGTCTGGCAGATTGTTCGTCAGGGGTCGGGTGGGGTTGCTTGCCTCACCGATACTGGCAGTTGAGGCACTTGACTGCTGAAGAAAAATATTATGACGTTATTAATCCATTCTTGGAAACGTAACAGTTTAGTGTTTGCTTAATTCATTTTTCTCAGTAACTAGGCACAAGAAAAAAAAAGAAACACTGAGTAACGAAGATAAGGTCAAAACGAAAGAAGGGTTCATTTTCTGATAACAGAGGGCACATTTTCCAAAGCCGACTGCCAACGGCTTACTGAAGTAATTTAAACTCAATAAAAACTAAAAAACAAATGATAAAACAAAGAGCAAAGCTTAATACCGAGTCATCATCATCATCTTTTACCACCATTGTATCATATCCATCCAAATCCTCTTGGTGAGCTGTGAAAGAGAAATTAGTTTTGAAAGAAAAATTCAATCACAACCAAAGACCAAAAATCACTTGTGGGACTTGATTTTTAGGGCAAGGATATTCCTTATTTCTTATAGAGACTGATATGATTGATGTTCAATAAGCTTAGCAGAAGTCATCAATGAATGTTTTACATCAAGAATTACAAAACAGAAATGTGCTGTCACTACCTACCTTCTCTTTGAGGTCTAAGTGTGGATTCACCATCTTGCTGCTCATCCAAAGATACTCTGAAACGATTAGCAAATAAAAACGTTTTATGCGTCTGATATTATCAACCAGATATCCAACCTAAATGTTTACATAGCCCTGAATTACTTGGCATCCAATAAATAAAAGCAGACAATGCTTTAAGTCCCTTGCTACAAAGTACAGAAAATCAGGGTCAGAAGAATACAACATGCCACCTTAAGGTGTAGCTTATTGGCAAAGGTTGGGCAGTAAGCCTCACCGGTGTCGTGAATGGCTGGATGCTGTAAGGGTGTCATCTGTTTGAAAAGTCATGAAGCTGTCAACACTGGTGTCCAGGAACACATCATTGTCATAACCACCAGTTGCACCCATGTGCTGAGGTGCGCCATGGTTCAGGTTCATTTCCTGCAACAGGAAGGAGAGGAAAACAACTTGGTAAACTCAAAGAGGGTGGTATTCACTTTCACAGCTATCATTTAGACTTGACACACAAAGCACTTTCCCTCTAAAGCATCTTGCGTCCAAACAGAGACAAAGAGACTAGCTGCCTTGTTTCAGGATTTGTAAAAAACTTAAGTGCTAAAAATTCAAGATTTTTTCATACCTTTATCTTCAATTTTCAGACTCAAGATTGAGATACTTGAAATAGCCTAATTGGATGAGTGGCTATAAAGATTTTGCCCTAAAAAGTGGGACCTTTCTGACAATGCTGATTCAACATTTTGCTCAAGTTGTTTCATATGACATTCAATTACCTTATGGTGGAAAAACCCAGAATCAACTTGAAAATTTCTAATCATTTTTACATGAATTAAAGTTGTTTCCATACTTTTTCAAAGTCTTGATAATTATTTTAAGTTTCCCCACTTTTTAACAGAATACAAAATTCTGTAGAGCACCTGTTTTTTGTTCTTTAAATAACCAAAAAAGAAGGAAAGCAATGAAAATGTATCACTCACTGGGCTGCTGCCACTGCTTGTCCTTCTTGGTGGATAATTATTACCTGAAAAGCGTGACTCAGATCATTAATGATTCAAGAAACTTTAGAGATCTCTGAAAATTTAAACTGATGTACACTACATATATTTTGCAATGAACATTGATTTAAACAACAGTAATAGGCGAATTTACCTTCTAGTATGACATTCAGATGCAAAAACAACAGGTTTTATCAGAACTCTGAAGATGTCTCTAACATAGTAAATTCCCTTTTATAGTAAAGTCCTACTGCAATGTTTGTTAGTGCATACCTCTAATTTACCAGAATCTCACCTCTTCCAAAAGTTCCTCCTTGCATGAGGGTTAAATTTCTTCTCAAAGTTGACTGAACATTTACAATACTGTCAGAAAGAAACAAGTGTCAAGTGAATCAGTTGAGTTTTTAAATGAAATGGTACCCTAAAGAGAATATCTCGACAAAAGACTCAAAACAGAACTTTGCGACTCCCAATTTTACAGTGCACAGCTACTGATGTACTATTCCATAACCTAAAACTGGTTACCAGGCACTACTTCCCTCTGAGTGAAGGAATACTCTAGCTAGAAGCAAGAATGAATTTTCCTGATGATAAAGTTCTCACCCCATTTCCTCAGCAATCATTCCTGCTAACAACTGCTCATCTTCCTCCTCACTTCCTGAATACTGATACTCTTCTTCATGATCAGGTGGTGCTGCAAGAAATGGCAGAAAATACTGTTACTTCAAAACACAACACCAAAAGACTAACCATGGTTTAGTATCTCTTCACAAGTTAAAAGAGCACAAACAACTGCACTTACCTCTCTTCTTTTTCATCCTGTCAATGAAATCCTTCAATTCAATTCTTATCTTCCTTTCATGAGATCTTGCATCACGGATAAATTCATGCTGCAGTTAAAATAAAAAATAAACTTGAATTCTTCTTTTACAGAATAAAGCAAGGCACCTGAGCAGTCCAGAAGCAAACCAAAAAGATAATGCAAAACTTTCAATATGTTTCAATTCACAGATTCTCAACTTATTTTAAAATCCTGTCATACTCTCAAAATTTTTGCAATTTCTTTACAATATTCCACCTTGTATGCTTAGGGTTAGGATTATAATAATCTGCTGGTCCTGGGTTCAAACCTTCCATCTTGCTGCTCTCTAGATTTGTTTGCAACTGCCCCAAGTTCAACTTCTTGGCTGTGCTTTGTACACAGCCAACTGGTCTGTCTCCTGCCAGTTGGTTATTTACAATGTTTGTTTCAATTTGTTTGTATTGGCACTGAAAACCCTGCTTGGGTGTGAGGTCAATTAATGTTATTATTATTACTGTTATCAATATTATTAAGCTCAACCAATCAATGCATATTTACTATCTCTTAGATGTGATGATAATGATGCTGATGATAATAATAATGATAAAGATGACAACAACAATGGCAACTTCAGTGTAGATGAGTCAAAGCTGATAACAACAATGATAGAAACAACTTTACCTGTAAAAGCTGGTCTGCTGTTGGTCTATGCTGGTAATCTTTAATCAAGCATGTGTTGACAAAATTATGGAATTTCTTGGACCATGCCTTCTTTGACTTCAGTCGAGGAGGATCACTCCGTGGAATCAGAAATAAAGCTCTCATTGGATGCATGTCACATAAAGCTGTGGGAGAAAGCTCTCTCTTGTTAACTTGTAATCTTTTCATCAGTCACTAATCAAAGCAGGATTTAAAATTAAAGTTTCCAGTTGATAAGAGGAAACAATTCTTACGTGGTTGGGTTTCAGCCATTTCAATTGCGGTGATTCCTATTGACCACATATCACACTGAAATATGAATAAGATTTTCTTTGATCAACACAATTCAATGTTGCTAACTTTCTGCTAAATTCAATTTCATAGAAACCAGTTCCAATGCCATTTTAACCCTTTCACCCATTTACAAAGAAATGATTTGCTAAAATTTCATACCCTGTTGTCATATGTGGCATCTGGCTGCTCATCACAAGCAATAACTTCTGGAGCCATCCTACAACAAAATGATCATGTTTATCTGCATTTTTGTCTCATAACTTGTGCTTTAAATTATTCTTTTTTGTAAAGGTTCACAAAGGATGAAAAATAATAGGTTAAATTTCTCTTTGAGATGTCCACATTCAAAATTAATAATAATCAAATGATTTTCTACAGATCCAAAGTAGAGCATAAAATAAGTGATTTATTGCATACCTTAGAAGGAAAAATGACTTTATAAAGTTCTTATGTTTTACAACACAAACAGATTTTCTTACCAGTAAGGAGTTCCAATGAAGGTATTTCGTCTTCCAATGGTTCTGTCCAATTGAGCACTAACTCCAAAATCAACTAAATAATAAAAGTTTGTGAATTAATATTAAATTTTTAGTACAGTGACATCATGTGTATGTAACAGCACCTTTCAAGTTCAAATGGCATTTCAAAAAATGTAAGTTATGTTGCAGTGAGCCATTTAGTTAATGGATCTAGGGCTAAGCCATGATTGGTTGATTTGAGTCACTTGATTGGTGCCAAAAAACATGACAACATTTCTGAACTTCATAGTAAGCGTCAAATTGGTAAATGCAGTAATCTAGCCATTGAAATAAAAAACACACATTTTACAAGTGATGGCATGTCCTTACCTAACTTCACCTCAGCACTGTCTGTTAGTAACACATTCTGTCCTTTTATGTCTCTGTGAATAACATGGTTTTGATGAAGGTGACTAACTCCCTAGAAAAGAAAGTTACATCAGACATAGAGCATGCGTAGCTGAAAGTTTTAAACCTGAAAATATGAAGTATCATGAGTGACATCACAAATGCCTAGTAACAAGTGCACTGGAGAACTTACATTCAACACTTCATGACATATATATGAAATCCATTCTTCCTTCAAAGATTTTCCTCTTGAAGCTTTAACAAACAAAGACAAAAAAATAACATTTAAAGAATAATTCAAGCTTTACCTCTCTATACATTGGTTTAATTTGCACCAGAGTGCAAACCTTACTGGTAGAATATTACTTGTAAACTTACCTTTAACCAGGTCCGTTATGGATCCTGCACCACAAAACTCCATTACAAGCTGATCGAAAAACAAACAATGCATTAGAACACACAATCACACCAGTAAGAATTAAATAGGAAATTTTCTAACTCTTCAACCAACAATCTAACATTGGCCTTGAATGCCACTTCGACTAAAAACTGGCAAACAGGAAAGCTTCTACTTAAATGATATTAATTAATAAGATTTAAGTCACGGAACAGGTTGTCTGTGGGTGGGGAAAGTGAGGCTGAGAGTCTATGTGTCCAATAATTGCAGGTAACTATTCCTGAATTCTATAGCACTAGGCAACTAGGAAACAGTCTGTCTATTTCAACTGGACAGTGTGGTCCTCTGTAGGTCACCCCTGACCATTTATGTACACTTCCCTAACAGGTTAGAGGCACCCATTCACTCTTCTGGGTGGAGAGAGGCACTGTGGGAAGAAAGTGTTTTACACCAAAGAGACATTAAAATGACCTGTCAGGTCTTGTACCCAGACCTCTCAGTCCAAGGTTCAATTTTTAACTAGGCCATAGCAACTTCCACTATTGTTCTTTAGCACATTATATTTAAAATAAGCATAAAGAGGTGCACAAACAGTAATTATTAACATACCCACAGCTGGTCCTCCTGTCCTGGTAAACCCTTCTTCACAAATGCTCCATAGTATGTTGCTATGTTCCGATGATGAGAAAACTAAAGAATACACACACACAATTTAGTCAGAACATGCTGCAAAATTGATATCTTATCCCCACTAGAAATAATCGCACAGTCAATTATCTGTAAATTTCAAAGATTGGGAAAAGTCTAGCACCAAAATGACAACTGGTTATCAATGTTTTGACAAGTTGATCCATAAGAAATTTTAGGCAATGACCCCTAATGACAAATTCTTCTAAAAATTGTGCCAACTAGAGGGTTGTGTTGCAGTTTAATTTTACTCCTTGTGTAAAAGGATTCCTCAGGTAATTTTGCAAGGTGGATGGTTGACTTCTGTATGTGTACCTACCTTTCTAAGAACATTTATTTCAAGCTTAATTTCTTCCTCTTCATCCTGAAAAAAATTCATAGTTATCATAAACTGAATATTTATTCAATATGCAAGTAATGTTTCATAGGGTTATGTCAATGTTCCATTATAAAGATTTCAACAGAGATGGTTGGAAATACTTACTTCTGTAACATCCATGATTTTAATGGCTGCAAGTTGCCCAGTTCTTTTGTGACGACCCTGGATTTGTTAAGGAAAGAAATATTCAAATTTATCTTCCATAATTTTACTACTGAAGTTCACAAAACATCAAGGAAGTGCCAAACATAACTGAGCGTAGCCCAAGTTTTCCTGATAGTTCAATCAGAATTGACCATGGTCATAATCACCAGAGGGATGAAAGTGGTTTTGTTTGTCCTATGCTAATCATAATTTTCAAAATGTTACTCTCTTCAACAACTGAGTTTTGACAAAGGGCTAAAGCTTCAAAGGTCAGCTTGAGAAACTCTTTACTGTTGTCAAGTTACATTATCAACTGGGTTGATAAAACCACATTATCTTGTTTCAATAAAACTTGAACAGGGCTGCATTCCAACACCAAGTTCTCACAGGGTAATTTGGTATCATTAACTGAGTTGATAACATAAATTGGCTACGGTAAAAGCTGACATTTCAAGCATTAGCCCTTCGTCAGAGTGCATGAGTTCTCTCAGAGCCATTAGCAGAGGATCCCACTGAGTAAACCACTACCCCAGATTTGTCATCAACACTGTTATTTCCTACCAAGCGATCCTTCAGATATGTATCATACTTTAAAACCAAATCATAACTGCAAATTCTAGCATAACATAAACAAGTTAAAACAAAACATGCTGAGATGTCACGAAATTTCTTTTAAAACAACTCTTTCACTTGAAGTTTTAAGTCATAGAAAGCATTAATATGAACAATAAATATTCAAAAGATCGCTGTTTAGTGTTTGAGGTTTGTAAAAATACTGCCTGTTTAACAGACAGTTGAAATTCTGGCCGTGTCAGTGAACCAATCATCTACTTACTGTAAAATTGAAATCACAACATTCCATAATGAGCAATTATCTTTAAAATTGTTTCCAATTGAGTTAATTTAAAAGAACAAAGAACAAACACTAACATGTTTTGGTCCCACAGTTTTTTATAAGTCTAAAGAATAAAGAACCACTCGATGCATAGTTTAAATTTGGAATTTAGAGGTTTCACTAATAAAGAAAACACGATGGCAAGAGGTTATTTTTCTGTTTGGGTCTAGCGCAAACATTTTCGGTATGGTGTAAGCAAAAACTACTTCAAACTATGTACATCTGTTTTTAATACGAAGGAAGTGAAATGTGAAATATATTCTACATGGTTGGTAATGAAACTGAAAGAGTGAAAACAACAAGTTCTTTCATCACATACTCCGTTAAGCTCTCCTAAATCCTGATTGATCTCTCAGTATATGGTGTTTTGCGTGCAACAGAAGTTCTTATCTGCCACTTAGCATCAATAATTTATCAAATATATGATCAAAGACGAAATAAGAAGTCTAACAAGAGAGAAGTCAATTCTTCTGTTCATTTGTTATCAAGCTGTTATAAAACAAAGAGTTGTCTTAAAAACTGGCTAAATGTGCACGTAATGATATCCCTCGAGTACGAAATATTTTTCAGTAATCGATTTTAAGCTAAATAGTTGAGCTCGCAAATTATCAACCATCACATTGTCAAGAGAGTATTTGCATGAAAATCCTCTTTAATTCTGCTTTAAGCCCGTGCAATCTGCGACAAGGCGATTGCAATTCATTTCAGAACAAAAGAAACGTATTCTTTATTTCAAACGCATGAAAAATTTACACGGAAAATGAAATGCACAGGTATTGGAGCAAAACAAGTTACCGGGCTAGAAATTATTACACATCGCGAACTGATCGAGCAATTTTATCTAAGATCCTCTTAGCAATACCTTATGTACTTGCCCATACGTTCCATTTCCAACAACTTCGACCAGATCGAATATTCCGGCTGGATCCTGCAAAGGCAATACTTAGTACTTAGTTATCAATTACAGGCACGATAAAGAAACAGATAAAGCCCAGTAGGTAAAATCACCGGGATTTCTCGTTTGAATTGTCTAGACATCGGCTTTTTCGAGTACATCGCGAAAAACTACATTTTAAAAATTACATCCGCCGAAAGTTTACCACATATTGACAGCTCTTAGGATTACACATTTTTTCTGAGTTCAATATCTTCATCAACCTGTGAGTTCACCGGCTTAAGGCTCTTAAAATATTGCGAGATCTATTGCAAACCATCTTTGAATTTAGTCCACTAAAAAGGAATTGTCAGGGTATACAGCGAAATCTGACTCACCTTCAGCGCAGCCAAATCAATATCGTCCAGTCCGTATGCCATGTTGATAGTCTAAAGTGATGAATTCACGACCGCACTGCTCACTGAAGAATTTGAATCTCTACCTAGTCGCGAAGCCACGCACGGGAAGCTTGTCACATCCGTAGAACGATCACGAGTGTTGCGCTACACCTCAGCCCACACAAACTCTCCTATTTCCACAATACGCATACGTTTACATTGGAGTGTTTTCAAAAAACAAATCAACCCTCGCAGCTCATCCAAAATATACACAAGCGCAGGGGAACCATAGGGCTCTGTTCATGGGAAATAATTTAGAGCCATACTCAAAACAAAGTGGAGGGAGGAGCTTGGGACGGATCACGTGATATCACGCTGAGTCGATGGCCGCTGACAGCAACGCGTTACCTGACCAATGCGCTTTCGCTACATCTTTGAACCTGAATTTAACTAAATGCACATGTGCGCTGTTGAACGGAAATTCATTACTAACCAGTTCTCTTTCTGGGGGGATTGAGGGGGTTTTGTCACTCCGTAGAGATAAACGTTAAGGGCCTTTCTGAGAGTGGGGGGGGGGGGGGGGGGGGGGGGGGGGGGGGTGAAGAACTCGGAAAGGAAGGGGTTATGTTAACAGAGGAGTGTAAATTCTTGAAATGGTTGCAAACTGATTAGAAAGGAAACAACACTTTTTAAACCTTTATATTCTAACTTCAGTATTCATAATCTCATGGTGTTCTCCATATATTTCCAAGGTTGCTGACAAGGAGCATTTGTTTAAACAATCGAGAGCTTATTTAGTTGGTGATCATTTCCTTTATTCTTGCGACCTTAACGTGTGATTCAGGGGTGATTTTGTAAGGAGAAATAATAGACGCCAGTCACTCTAGGGGTCAAGGGTTTAAAAAGGAGGACGGGGAGGAAAAGATGCCTTCACCGTCAAGCCATGGCGACTATTTGAACAGTTTATTCTGATAGCGTGACTTTTAAGACGAAAAACATGAAATACAGATTCTATTTCAGTCAGCTGCACGAAAGCTGTGTTACTAACTGCAAAAAAGTGGGCGTGACTAGGATGACACGCCTCTCCATGTCTGCTTTGAGATGACAAACCTACAATCAGGTCCCTTCCCTCCCCCTAGCCCACCTCAATCCTCTGGCTCCTACTATTGAGGGATTTGTCTCTCCGTTGTTCTCCCCAATACCGTCTCTTGTATAGGGCGGGTCAGCGAGACAAATTGTCGTGATCATTCATATCACTCTCTTCTCAAAATTAACCAAAATTAAACTTGTTCACGCGCAGTTCTATTATCTGACAATAACACTCAATAACACACACACACACGCACGCAAATGCTACGCAGTGATATGCCTAATTAACACAGGTTTCAAAGAACAAATGATCTTATCTTTGGTGTCTGCGTTCACCAGGTAGTTATCTGTTGAATGCAGGTTCAATTTACAGGTACATATTGGGAGTAATAAATTTGACACTTAAGCTAGTGACTGCTTAATATGGGCTAACTGCATAAGGAAACATTCTTTGGGAACTTTTCATCACTTTTCCCACAAAAGAAACAGTAGAAACCTATCATCACTATAATGGTCATAATTTATTGGCTTCTGACATCAAATACAAATAACTTGACTGCCTTGGCAGTTAACTCTCCCCATGAAATAACCAATTTTTAAACGGAACAACTCTTAAACTCTAAAATAAAGATTTTAAGTAACTGCATGGACAGCACGTCTTGACTCACCATGCTTTCTATGAGCACATTTTATAGATTTGTAAAGTTAACTAATAAGATTTCAGTTAACTTTGTTCCAAAGCAGCCTAAAATTTAATACTAAGGTTATCATAAGGTTGTAGCTGACGTGAAAACCCGCTGTCACGCAATTCTTATAAGCATCACGCAAGCAGCTTTGGAACAAAGTTAGCTTCGATCACATAGCTACGTTAAGATTTCTTTAAGGTCTATGTAAATAATACGTTATCATAAGGCTACTTGCTGTGGCCTGGTTTGTAACTTCCTTAGCTGTTCTCTTCCCGTTCATTAAAGAAAATAAATACCATAGATACTCTTAACAGTAACATGTTTAAGAATCTTGAGTTACGTCAAAGCATGATTGCATTTACAATCATACCCCAACCCAAAGTTGTTTATTAGCTGCTGACAAGTGTACTTCAAAATTTCAAAAGGACAAGGAAAATAAATTTTTCCCATGTTATAGTAACTGTAATGCAACAAAAATTCAGATCATCAGAATAATTACATGTTTTCAGCCTTTGTATCAACATTTTCACAAGCAGCAATATTCCTAATCCAAGATGATATTCATAAAATATCAATATAGTCTAAGTTTCAAGCAGGATGATTTTTCAACTTAAGCGATTATTCCTTATATAGTGATTTACTCGTTCAATTCCATGTATTCCTGGACTACATGATGCTTGTTGTCTCTTGTCGACACAACACTTATTTCACTTGGACTTCATGAATAACAGAAAATTGCTCACTTTTCTTTGCATGATAAGGCATTTAGATCGTTATAAATTATCACTGTACTGTTAACACCATGTAAGATTTTTGTAAATAAAATATCTTTTGCAACTACTTTTGTTTAAGAATTACTGATTTTTTTTTCAAAACGGGAACATTTCTCTCCTGATACTTACTATGAGATTCTTAAATATTTTGGCGACATAAGTTTTCCTAGTTCAGCACAAGATTGCAATATTACAAAACAATTTGTCGGTGGACAACTGTAGTATTACAAAATATCTCAGTATGACTAAAATGTGTTTGGTTATGGCCCTTATACACAATGTGGAACTCAAAATTTACAATAAAAACTATCCATTTCTTTCTTTAGCCAAAGAAACTAGTGCCTACTTAACACTTATTACATTGCAAACAGTTCTCTTGATGTTCACAAAGTGTTCTTGTCAATTTTTTTTTAAAATTAGCTACGGTTTTTTTTGGCAAGTTACTAACAACCTAATTCTAAAAGTTATATTACAATCTCTTTTGGTATAAATTCAGAAATTTGTGACAAGGGCCATGGTCTCCTATAAATACAAGAGATTTTCTAATGAAGCATTTTTCAGTGCATTTGAAACCCTGGAAAAAGAACTGATTTGTACAATTAACCAAACTGTATTGTAAGTAGGTACATATGTACTCATATTAAAATATTCCTGTTATGTTAATTAGGATGTATCTTAAATTATGGAGTACACTTTGTTTCTTGTAATTGCAACTAATTTAATAGCCTACATGTAGCCATACACTCCCCCCCTAGGAGAAATGTTCCTCCTTAGGGGGGAGGGTATTGTTACACATGGGCTACTTATTCAACTATATTTACTTTTGCTGGGAAACACTTCATAAGCTAATTCTGATAATCATCTATAAAATTGTTTTCTAGGGCTGTAACTGTAAGAAATCTATTGTAAATGGTGCAGAGAATTTCTTTTTTTCACTGATCAGGAAAATAGAAAAAAAAAAAAAAAATTTCTGAAAGGAACCAAGACCAAATGTGGACCTTTATGTAAAGGCCCAGTTAACACTATCAATATGGGCCCTCACAAAACTTAGGCTCTTACTTGCCTTCACACGTGGCCCCAAGAAGATCTCTTGGTTCATATAAACTACAAGTAGATGGCTATCACATATACGTGTCACTGTTGGTACAATGACCTTAAACATAACTTTCATAACGTCGCCAAAGATATATAAATACTCAGATTATTGTGTTCCATAACTTGCCTCTTCTATCTGCGTCACTTGAAGTTGACATTTCAACAACTTGAACAGGCAATTTTTGACCCTACTTGGAAAACAACAACCACAACAACAGGAGATAAATGGCATGTTTGTAAGCAGCAGTTTGAACAAACTGAACAAGCCAACTGACTTTCTCCATGGTGCTCCTTAAAGAGTTTCTTAAAAATCATGAACAGTTGAGAGTTCAACATCGAATAACACTGCATTTTTCCATGTGCTCTGACCTCGCAGCCAGAGGCCTTCCTCAGTTACCTGACCTGTAACAGTGCTGATCCACACAGTAAGCCACTGCGACTGAAAACCGTCACCAGTCTTCCTCAACAACATTCCACCAATCACTCAAAGAAGCTTTATTTGATGCCAGATATTGCCAATGCAACAGTCCCAAATTTAACTTATTTCATCGAACGCAAAACAAATGCGGTAAATTCCTGTAACAACAAATAAAGAAAAAACAACAGCTTGTAGTGAGAACCTTGCACCAGCTAGTTCCACCAATCCTGGGAAGCATTGCCACCAGAATAACGGCCTGGATTCCAGTAGCCCCCTGCTCCTCCCCCATAACCATAGTGGGCTCCACCACCCCCACCTCCACGGTGATGTGGCTGCTGCCTGTAGTCACGGGACCCAAAGCCACCAGCTGAGTGCCTGCTGTTGAAAAAAACGAAAAAAAAGGGAAAGAGGTCATTGAATGTAAATTGCTATTACTGCCCAAAATGTTTGGATTGCTTCATCACTCTTCATGTTATAGCTTCAAATGAATTTCAAATCAAAATGATTTTAACCTAGTGTACAGAGTAGTTTGATTAGTACAAATGAATTTTTCCTTGTTCCAGGTACATCACCAAAGATTTAAAAAAAAAAAAGGGCCAACAGATCAAACTAAATCAAATCATTCACACAACAAAAAAACCACTCTTATGGGACATTTGGCTGAACACTTGAAGACGCTATTGAGATCTGTTAACACATATGGCAAGGCCAGCTACTCCAAGTAATTGTAGCTCATCTTCTTCTGTAAAAATGTGACTAGGTGTATAGAAATTCATAAAGGAAATAATTTGCGCAGGTAAACCCCATATATTACTATACCACTACCATATTCACATCACTGATTGGCCTAAAAAGCATTGGGGCAAAATTGGCTCACAATGAAACCCAGATAAGCCAATCTGAAGATCAACATTTTGGGCACAAAGAAAATTAAAGCTAAAAAAAAACAGCTCAAAATTTGAGACACTTCTGTTATATATAAATGGATAAACTAAGATGTATGTTATACCTCCTTCCACGGCTCCTGCCTGAATTCTGATGGCTCTCAAAGGCAATAGACTCCAGCCAGCTTGGCACCTCTTGCCTGCTTTCACTCAACAGCTCAACCAAATCCTTGGCCACATTCCGATTCTTCTCATTGAAAAATGAAGTAGCTAAGCCTACAAACACACATGAAGGATAATTAGCTCTGAACAAGAGATTTGTTTACGTTTTGCTGTTAAGCTACTGAACCTCAATTTCAATAATTTGTTGTCAGTGTTTCTCAGCACTTGCAATTAAAATGAATCTATTAAATTGTGCATGTTGTGATGCTGATCACCATGCTGCATCATATACAACTGCAAGCAGGGAGAAAAATTCCTTTCCCAGCCTCAGGCAATCAAATTTACCCAGAATTCTTTGTAACAGCCAGAGAATTCTTTAAAACCATAAAAGATGACTTCCAAAACAATAACTAAGGAAAGGAAATTTGTTTTGTTTACAAGTGGAATTATGTCCAGAAAATCTAAGTAACCTCACCAGTGTGTCCCACACGGCCTGTGCGTCCAATGCGATGGACATACTCCTCTATATCAGTTGGCATGTCAAAGTTGATCACATGGCGCACATTTGGAATATCCAAGCCACGAGCAGCAACCTAAAACACAAAATAATTAGTCACCCAAGCTTCCAGATATTTTGGAATAAAAACTGTCTCATTTATCAGAAAACAGTGTTAGTGTACTTACAGCTGTAGCTACCAAGATTGGTGTGCGGCCAGACTTAAATGACCCCAAAGCTGCCTCTCGCTCCCGCTGAGAGCGATCACCATGAATGGAGGTTGCATACCAGCCTTCACCGTGCAGAAAATCATCCAAAGCATCAGCTCCTTTTTTGGTTTCCACAAATACCAATGTCAGAGACTTTGGACCTGGAAGAGATTAAAAACAGAGGGAAACTTTCAGAACTTCTCTGACTTTTCCTTGATATTTGATACTTTAATATTTTTTGTTATTGACACAACAATATCACAACAAACCTGAAGCATTCAGCAGATCCAATAAGAATGACCTCTTGTCGTATTCATCAACCCACACTGTTTTTTGTGTGATGTTCTCACTTGTGGAGCCCACACGTCCCACAGCCAAGAAGATGTAATTCACCAGGAAATCTCTAGCCAGCATCTACAAAAAAAGGTAAGATGATTTTAAAGAAAACCATGAGCCACAAAAAGATATGAAGAGATCTTATTTGGAATTAAAAGAAGAACTCCTCTGTAGTTACGTTACAATTGCAAGTTCTTACCTGGATTTCCTTAGGGAAAGTGGCACTGAACATAAGTGTCTGTCGTTCACCAGCTTTAGGCATGGTGTCCTGATCAACAATGCGTCGGATTTGAGGCTCAAATCCCATGTCCAACATACGATCAGCCTCATCCAGAACAAGGAACCTGGTAAGCAACCAAATACTTTCAAAAAAAGATCAAAAACCTTTCCACTTGGCCTTGAGATAAAATGATCAAATCTTTATCCTGATTTCAATTCATATAGATTCAAATTTGTTTTGGAATTTTGTTATTCTTCCAAACAATACACATTCTTTATGCTAGTGTTATTATTTGGCTAGAAGTCATGTTAGTCTTTCAAAAAAAAAACCACAAAAAGGTCAGATATTGAAATGCTGAGTAATTCTAGAGCAAAAAAGAAAACTATAGACATAACAGATGTCTTTACTGACTTGCAAGAGTCCAGCCCCACTCGTCCCCTGTCCAACATGTCAACGAGACGACCAGGTGTGGCCACAAGAAGATGGCAGCCACGATCCAGCTCCTTCAGTTGGCCACCAATGTCAGCTCCACCATAAACCACACAGGGACGCACATATGACCTGTAAGAAAACTGACAAGAGACACATGTTCTTAGGAAGGACCACCTAACATAAGCATTGTTTGTTCAGTCATTAGAGACTAACAACTTCTCTCTGTTTTCTCCCATCAGGAGGCCACTGGGTTATTGGGAAACATAATCAGCCTTGGCAATGCAAAATAAATAACAATGTTAAAAGGTGTTACTTTCATTACCTTCCTGGATTCCTCAAAGATTTGACAAGCCAATTCCCTGGTTGGTGCTAGAACCAGGCAGTGAGGGAACTGCTTTCGGCGACCCTGATGCCGAGCCTGAGAATTGCCACAAAAATTTTCATTTTAATTTCATATTTCACTTAAGGAGAAGTAACTAAAAGGTAATACAACTTCCCATATAAAAATTGGACAAAAAAAAATATATATATATATTTATATATAACCACAAAAAAGGAGGAACATAGAACCACATCTCTTGCTTACATCAGGTAGGGGAGGAGGACCTTCCTCAAAAATCCTGCTGAGAATGGGAATCAGGAAGGCAGCAGTCTTCCCAGAACCTGAAATAGAAGTAGTTCAAGTCATCTATTTTTTTTTTTTGTTAGCACTACATGAAATTCACATGTATGTCCTTTGCCACTAATGGTGAATAGTTCCTATCAAAAGGGCTGTTCCATCGATCTAATTACAGTTTTTCACGGTATCGCCATAGTAGCTGTTTCAAGTTGTATCAATCTTACCAGTCTGGGCACATGCCATCAAGTCCCTCTTCTTCTTCACAATAGGTATCGCATACTTTTGAACTGGAGTGGGCTTGGAGTAATTGGCCAGCTACAAATAAAGAGTAAATTAAAAAAATAAAATATCTTCCGTTAGTAGAGTTTCACTTGATGGTGGACTTAAAATGTATTTAATCTTAAGAAGACTTAAGTCAAAACCTACAGAGGCTGCTACAGTAGAGATACAAATATGAACAAATTAACAGACAAGTACATCATACCTCAACATTGTTGCACAAGATTTCCCCTAGTTCACAGTCAGAAAACTACAAAAAACAGAACTCTGTTACCATCATGTGATACATTTGCACATAATTACAACAAAAAAATTTTATTGTCCTTTAGCAATGTGACACTCTCAACAAATACTTGTGTGTTAAGCAATCTTCACCATGTTCACCACTATTTATGAGAACAATCTAGTCACTTTGGTCTACTATAAACAATGGTTGAGATATGTCCAGTTTAATTGTCTTTATTAACTAGATGTCCCAAACTGAACTAATATCAAAACAAGACTCTTGATTTTAATTAGTTGACAGCCTACCGACTCAATGTTTTTAGGGACATCCTGTCCAGTGGCTTCCACAGGAATATCTTCATACTTGTCAAAATTTATTCCAGTGTTGTGCTTGTTGAAAAGCTCCCTAAAAAACAAAATATATTAACAGCCATTATCAATTAAGCCCATACTAATATCACACTTTTTTAAAGTTTTGTAGAATCCTTCTAAAATGGAAATGATTGTTCCCTGAATAATCCAGGACTCCTACTATTTGGAGAATGGATCATCTACAAGAAAAAATCCTGCTAAGAAAACTAACATTATGAGAGATGTATGACCAACAGTAAGACAGATTACTATTGAGCTTTCACAGAGAAAATGTTCAGCTTCTCCAACAGTGATTACCTTTCAATGCGGTCATTCTTCGGCAAAAGTTTAGACCAATCTTCTGGTGGTGGCTGAGTGACTCTGTTATAGTCTGATGAGAAAAATATACTTCCAATTAACGTGAAACTAAGGCAGAACACAACAGAAAAATCACCTAGTGCTGACATGTTTGTTTGTATATTACAATTGCTCACCATTGCCACTTCCTCTTGTGGGAGGAGGTCCTCGGTTGTCACCCCTATCTCTCCAGCTGTTTCCTCCTCCACGGCCTCCACCATAATACTGACCTCCCCCATAGTATGGGCGTCCACCTCCTCGTGGAGGATATCCACCATAAAAGTTTGGCTGCTGTTGGTAAAATCCATCTGACAGATAATAAGATACAATATATTATATATCCCAGTCGAAGAAAATTAATGAATCAAACTTTTTGCCAAGCCTTGTTATCATCTGAAGAGTCACAGAAATACTCTGCTGACATGTCCATATCCTCTTCACCACACAACTTAGATTTTGAAATGATTCCCTTTGCAAGATGCAATTGTTTGGTTCAAATTACTCCCATCACTCAGCTGTGTGCGGAAACTTATAGTCTCAAATGATGTATAACCGAACAAACCTCTGTAGGGTTCCCTGTGTTGAAAGTCCCTTTGCTGGTTGTATCCATGATCATGGTACCCCCCTCTGCCATGAGGAGGAGGAGGACCAGGTCTGCTGCGAAGGTGAGGAGGCACGTATCGTTCTGAAACATTAATCATACATTGGGCTGGTCAAAATAAAGGATGGCAACTCAATTAACTTTGGTATGGTACTTTTAATTTACCACAATTTGCTTTGTTTTCAAATCTGATCAAAAGTATTAATCACATTAATCACATAATTGCTAGTCTGCCATGTCTGAGAGATATTCTCTGTGGGTTAACATATCTTATCTAAATATCTCCAAAAAATCCTAAGAATTTGCTCACCAATGTCTCTATTTCATTGGTAACTGAATATACTTTGGGAAACTATTCAGAGTTTCAGAGGGATTTCGAGAACTTCATCAACTAATGTTTAGACAACATGACCCTCTAAGCTTCAGAAAATGACTCCATTACTGTTATTACTAAAATAATGGTTTTTTTTATAAAACGTAAGTATAATTATCATATCCAGAAAGTTTTTTTGCCAAAAACTCTCACATTCCAACTAACAATGACTTTTAATGGTGAGAGTTTACTCCTGGCACTGGTAATTTCAATGAAACGTTTTCCTGAGCCTTTTCAAGGCCTGATTTTAACCCGCAAAAAAAAGAGACTTACATCATAGATTTTCGCTATGGGAGCAAATATCTCTCATTTCAATTTATTAGGCAAATGTACGTTATTTCAAGACACAGAAGTAATTCAAATTCAAAAGATTGAACTATTTTAACAAATAGCAAAGAAGAATCAAAGACAATCTTCATTAAAATATAAAGAACGCGGTGTGGAAAAAACATCATTAGATGTAATCCAAGCCGGCTACCAGAGCGACAAAGAGATTTTTACTTCAGCCTGTGAATTATATGATACCAATCCGGCGATTTACCCGTATTGAACGGCCAAAAGCGTATACCACGTTTCATTCTTTCGTTTTCTTCATTTCCCACTTTACCGAAATGGAAATTTGCACAATCTTAGGCAACGGATTAAAATCGTACTTTTTCAAGTTACCTTGTTGAGACTTAGGATCGACGCCGTGAGGGTTAACGGCGCCCTGATTCAAGTCCAGACCAGCGAACTACAAGGAAACAACAACACAAAAATCACTTTAAAAACTTCATCTGTGCTTAACACAAGAAATAGCAAATAAATTGTTTATTTTCTAGACGAATGACGGAGAAACTGTTCGAAAAAGGAAGGCGTCATTTTGCATTTTCCATGTGCCTTTGTCTCAAAAACCACAATTTCATATCTTCCGATTTAAAATCTTCAACTTACCCGCTGGTCTAGAGCTTGAAAGTTAGCTGGGGCCACATGACTCATAACGGAATAGACAGTAGTTTTAAGCTTTCGAATGAAATATTTGAAATGGTTGGTAAAACTCGGCAAAAACGCGAACAATAATTGAAGGATTTTGCTCTTCAACTTTTTTCTGTTCAGATCGAGATGTCAGTCGACGACAGCCGGCTGAGTAACCGCACCACCGTGACGTCACGTACCAAGCACGTGGCCGCCCCAGCACCTGGTGGGAGGGGGCAGGGATCTAGAAAGAACTCTGTGACTCGTTGTTTCTCAGTGACATCATCAAATAACAATACCGGAACCAATGGATTTGTTACCTGTGAAGTTCTCCCTATAGATTCGGCTTTCAAGATCCTTTGCACAAAAAAGGTAGATCTGGAATTTCTACACATGGTACTCACGAGATATTGACAAAAATTTTAGTGTTTTCACTGCCTGATTTAATGATTTTTTTCAAAGCCGTGAGATTTTTTGCGTACTAATCGTTGAACGCAACTTTTGAATTCCCGCTAGAATGTGAAAAACACCAAATGACAAAATCTAAGATTAAAATTGTAATTTCTGGGACTACTTCGAAATGACAGTTAATTTGAACAATTAAAAAACCCCGGTTTACAAATCAGAATTAAATGATTTTGTAACTGCATAGAATCTACTGATGTGGTCAAACATAATTCAGGCGGACACTATCCACCAAATAAGCTCAAGCTGGAAAAGGCGAGAAAACGCAGCTTTGGTCTTTCGAGTGTCGTGTGGGGAACTTCATTCTCAAAACGACCTGCTTATGAGATTAATTCATGTATTCCACTGATCGGCAGGTGGAACTGTGGGAGATCTGGATCCCAGGCTATTTTCCTCTTAGGCGGCGGTAAAGTAGTTTGATTCGAAGCATACACATTTAACTACCCCAAGAGTTAAAATAATTGAAAACGTCAAGTGTAAACGTTACATTTAACAAAGGGAATTGTCGAAATCCTTATTTTATGAAAATGAAGGTTACAAATTTACCAAACACGATAATTGATAACCGGAAAATTAGTTATACGCCAAACTTTGTTTACGACCTGCTGATGAACTTAAGAAAAGCTCCCATACTGTGGGCCATTTTGGCCAATCAGGTTAATCCATAACAACGTAAACAATTACTTTTTCACACGGTGTTTATGTGGTGTATAGCCCTCCGTTTTCGGTTTTTTTTTTTTTTTCGTCGTTTCACCTTTTAACTCGTAGACGTAATAAACATGTAACCTCTCCCTAAAATATCTAACATTATCCACCGAACAGGTAACGAGAATACTCACTCTTATCAGGTAGAAGTTATTATCTTGATCCGAAACCATGTTCTTATAACTAATTTACGAGGAAATGAGTAGCAGGTGCTAAAGTGATAAACGAATTACATAACACGCGCCGTTGAGAGTGTCAAAACAAAAGGCATGAGGGTGGGGTGGGGAGAGACCGTAAACGGCTTGCCCTGAGCGAAATTCACTAAAGGACGTTAGAACGAATATTGAAAGACAACGCACTTTTTGATAAATCACCCTTCATTTCCTTCAGGAAGGAACGAATTGGGGTGTAACTTCCGATGATAATGAGCAGTAATTACTCCGATTGATATAATTACTGTTTCACAATGACGAGGCAAACTGCAAAGCAAGTTTGGTTGATATGGCGCCAAGAAATATCGAGGCTATCGTTCTGATCATGTATCTCTAAGTCTGTTTGGGAAAGTTTCGAAAAAGGGAAAGAAAGTTTCATACTTAAATCACAGAGTCGCGCAAAAACCAGTACTAATTCTACATAAAACTTATTAACAGATTTCAACTTGGAGTGACTTATTACGTATTATAACTTATTATTTCATATTTTATATTCGCCGTAGGAAACGATCACCGAATGACAAAGTTTTCAAGTGCCGTGATCTTGCACTTGAAAGGTCGCGTGTTACGTTGCTTCTGGAACATCTCGCGTCACGAATCGATATGGATAAACATTGAGTAATCACGAATGAATCAACCATATGAAAGGTTAAGAGCTGATAAAGCAGATAGAGCCAGGCGTTGGATCGGTTTTGCCGTTACAATCACAACGAGGTTCTTGTATGTCTGATGCGCACGAAATATCACAAAAGTCATTGAAATGACAGCTGACTGATATGACCGCATTACTCAAAAGCTTCGAGGCCACCAATTGCATAAAATTATTTTGAAAAAATTGAATGTCATTGTCAAAACATTTCGTCTCAGAGTAGACTAGTCAAGAAATTTTGAAACGAAAATATCAACCGGCTATACCTTAGAGACCAGCTTTAAATGAAATAATTTTCAGGTGTTGACGTCTGAAGTAACCCATGCTGTCAGTTGACTCAGCAATCTATTTATATTGTCTAGCATGAACAAAACATTCCGTCTCAAACACAAAGGAAGTTTGCGTGTCACTTTTTAGACCACTTTTTATCCACGTCTTAATTTAAGATTAAAAACAAATTTCCTTTTCGGAAATGATCGTTAGAGGTGTATTCATTTAAGAAGATTCTTAATTTTCGCTTAGTAGTGGACCACACTTACCGAAAAACCTTATTGAAAATTAAAATTACACTTATTCGTTGTTGAAAATAAAACGCTGTTACAATGTTACTTACAAAATATAATTTCCCGCGATACCATATTACTGTAGAAACAATATGATGCCATGTTGGCTCAAACAGAATCTTGTTCAATTTTTGCCCTTTCTAATTCCACTGTCGACAGAAGATCCTCAATAATTTTATCCAATTCAAGATCTTGTTCCTCGTAATTGCTATGAATATCTACCTCTAAATTGCCTCGACATGGCTCAAAATGGCCAACATCGTTGGTTGAATTGTCCTCATTCGGAGAATCTTTTGCAACATTTAAAGAAGATTTTCCATCGGTAGTATTGCTAGAGGTTTTGCAGTCGTAATTATCAAAACTTGTTCTCCTCTCAAAGCGCTTCTGCTCAAAGGACTTGCGTCTATCCCGACGCAGCTTTTGAAAATGTCCTTCTCGAAAAGCAGCATATAAAGCCAGTCCAATAGCTTTTGCTCTCTCTTCGCTGTCACAGGCCAGCGCATGACATTCGATTACTGATGGACCTTTGTGGTGATTAAACGCAAAGATAGTGGCGTCAAGTCTGTTTAAAGTACAATAAGAAATGTTATCAAGAGATATAAACTTTGATTCGTTCATTGTGGACTTAGTTTTCACCTCCGTGAATTTTACGCCGTTAGTTTCCACCTCTAAATACATTTTCGGACAGCTTTTGTCATCGTCTTTCACTTGTTCTTGTATTTTGCGTACTGCTTTTTCTATCCCAGCGACACCGGGTTCTTCTGTTTTTCCACAGCCAAGATATTTTACCTGAAAGCGGGTGGATAGTGTTAGATCCGCTTTCCCTGATTTTCCTTTGATCATTGCTGCGTCCAACGGCTAAAAATCTCTTAAAAACTTGATACCAAAGCGCTCCCCTGAAATACACCAGACGGTTACAGATGGGTTTCTTTTAAACCTCAATTTTTAAATATAATATTTTTGTTTTGTATTTTGAACTTGCCAGCTTCTTACAGAGCCTTGCACCACTCACTATCTTATTGGACTGTTTACTGCATTCACGTAAATTCCACCTGTTTCAATGTTCCATTCAAATCCTCATTGAAATGCAAATTTTGTCGCTTGACGTGTCAGTCATTTATGCTATATCAGCCTGAGGTGGCTTCTTCTATTTAATTGACATAAATGAAAATAAAATTCTCTTTACCGACCTGAAATTCGTTTATGTAATTTTGATCAAATCTGGTTCTCTTTCTGGTGATAATTCGTCGTCTTTCGTTTGGTATCTCACATTTAGAAACTATTTTCGCATTGTTCATAGTTAATTAACGCACGAGAAGCAAACAATATTCTGAAGTGAAAATTTCCCTTTGCTAACAAAAGAAAACTGTTAATTTTCATTTTTTTTTGTTGTTCTCTTATTTTGAACGCGAATGCCCCCCGCGTGGAACTTTGTATGATGTTTTTAATGGGACCTCCATTTTAGAGGTTGCGCAACCATCTTGGTGAAAGAAATATAATTTTTTTTATTGATTTTCTAGTAAAAATGAAATTTTCTTGTGGTATTCCTAGTAAGCCACGTTATGCAATCGAAAATTCAGTGGCTTGGAGTTAAAAATGTCTTATGTCTTACTCTTTCAGCCGCATTTCTTATGAGGTCGCTAAAGAAACAAAGTTGGTCCGTGAGGGCATGAAAGATATTTGCTTCACTTTGTAAAATTTGTTAGTATCAAACTCTGTATGCTTTGACGTCTTGCACTTTGAGTCAGTATCTTTCTGGGTTTTTCTCTCGAGTTCTGTTTGGTTAATTTCCTGAGCCCTCTTTGGTTCTGGTTTTGTTTAGAAATCCTAACCACCAGAATTTCTATGGTGGTTGAAGCCGTGACTACTGCACACACGGGTCAGCGGCTTCGAAGATAATTGATTTAAAAGGCTAACAACTTACCGGTTTTAAAAAGTTAGTAAGTGAAAGCCATACGGGAAAGGAGCCTGCGATCCTCCCACCCCTCCCCTAGAGGTACAAAAACCATGACCTATCATGATAGCGAAAATCAAGCCTAGTTTAGCAAAAGCCTCCTGCAATTCGATGACATATCATCCAATGAAACTGCAGTATTTCTATGAGTATTCGCGACGCGGGGCGCAAGAATCCCTCCAGGGTTCTTCTAAAAATAGCACTATGCGCGTAGGAACATTGCTGAAACCTGCACGAATGTGACGGGAAGTTAGTATCTATGAGGTATGTTGTGGTTGATCGTAATACAAAACAAATTGATGCAGGCAAAACCGTCATTTTGTCATCCACGACAGGTACAGCTGTCATACTCCTAATTTTAACTCCAGTTGTTAAAGGCAATTTTATAAATAAGGGTAAGAAATTGCGAATTATTAAAAGCGGGAAATGTAGTCAACATTTTGAATGCTTTAAATTTATACTGCAAGAGAGAAATAACCATGGTTGTTTTGATAACTGATGAGAATATGGCATGCCTAGCAAAGAAGATTTTAAAGGGGTAAGTTTCTAAAGAAACTGTGGTGCTGCGTCGGTGGGAGAGTATAGCAGGTAATTTAGTGTTAACAACTGGGTTGAAAACGTAAATTAGCTACCGTAAAGAGTAAAAAAGCTGAAGTTTCGAGCGTTAGCCCTTCGTCAGAGCGATTGATTAGCTAAATTCACATGCACTGTTTGGAAGTCATTTGCACACATCATTTGGCCGTCCTAATTGAATCAGACATATTCTAACAATAATGAATTGTCTAAAAGCAGTTTTTAAGTGCTTGTCTGGTGCAAAATTATCACTCAGAAACTGTCTTCCGCCAAAATATAACTTAAACTACAAAAACTGCAACTAATACACGAAATATCTTATGTTTAATGTTGTTTCAGAACGATTAAAAAACTTGTTTTCCGCCGCTTGATTTTATAACAATGTGTTAACTGACGGTGTGTACTTTGTTTAGAAATAAAACATCTAAGCAGTTTAAAAATGGATAAAGTGTCTTCTGAAATTAATTTCGCAAAAGACCAGCCTTGTAGTCGTAGTTAGTTCATGTTTGGTTTTCGTTCTTTGAGTTCACGAATCGCATCTGATTGTAAACATTCTCTCATTTTTTCCCTTTCCTTGCGAAGAGTCTCGAAATGGTCTGTTCTAAACGACGCATAAAGCGCTTCGTTGATTTCCCGTGCCTTCAGCGCACTTTCGCACACCACTGCATGACATTCAACATGGTTCTTCGAGACATGATGATTAAAGGCAAAAACATTGTTGTCTTTTTCATTGATAAAGCCATAGGAAATATTCCTCAGAGGAATAAATGTCAATAGAGTATCTTTCTCTCGTTTTCGCTCCATCAAACAAAGTCCTTTTGTGCTAATTTTGATGCAGTTCGTTTGAGTTGTATTTCTGCAACACTCATGGCTTGCAGTTTTCTTAATTTCTTCCACAGCAGCCCGGATTCCTTCGACTCCTTCTCGTGTATTCATACAGAATCCCAGGTAACTGACACGAAATTCAGACTCTAGGACAAAAGTGCACGAATCACTTCGAAGACCAAAACCTCCTAATTTCTCCTTAAGTGATTCCATCTCAGGTAAGCACTGATATTCCAAGCTCGGTCAAAGTCTCACAGAAGCCATAGCGAGTGAATAAAAAATGCCAGACTGATTCAACGATGGCGCAAGGAGTTTTAAAATTTTCTCCCACGTATTTTTGCGGGCAATTTTACAGATGTTCTGCCAAAACAAATGGTGAGAAATTATGATTATTAGAATTGCAAATTTGCGGGAAATTTTTACACACAAATCTATTTCGAGGCAGGAATGTGACATTTGACTTAAACTTCCTTACTTGGATTCAGGAGGTCGGCTGAACGCTTTGAAATTTTTTTTTAAAGCAGTTCTTTTGTCATGCACAATCAACATTAACCAAAAGAACTCGCTTTCATTCCTTCAAGGTAATGAAATTAATGATAGATTAGCACACTTGCGGCGGCGAAGATTAGCAAAAGATGATATTCTTCTTGATGACACATAACTCAGTAATTTGATACTTTTTGGCAAAACCGAATCTATGGAAAAATCTTGCGTTCATGCTTTTTGTTTTCAATCATTTTAAGCCATCCAGACCATTAATAAAATAATGCTATCTCGTAGAGCAATTTAGCAGGTACAGAGCTGCTCGATAAACGAAAATCGTGAGACATCCAAAAGTTAAATTAGCGGGTATTATTAGGCTACACTGCTGTGAAACCAAATAATGCTCCTCGTCGACATTGACATGGCAACGCAACCAACTTTTTTGCTCGTCTTTGTGTGAAATCTGATTGGACCGTTGCTCACGCATTGTTCTTTATTCAGGATGAATAAATACGTTTTAAAAACTGTCAACAGCTGTTTTATTGACATTCCATAATAAAGAATTCGATTTTAAATTATAATTTTGACACTAAGGAGGTAGGGATCCGTCGACCGGAGAATTATTTCACAGCTTGCCATGACGGGTGAAGAGGAAAGAGCTAAGATTGTAACGGTTTTCTTATGGGTGTTATGAAATCAAAACAACAAGAAACTGACACGAAACTGACCAAGAAGAAAACAGAACGCAACATGGTCAAACGGATAAGTTTAAAAAGTTTGAGGCAAGAATACGAGTTGAAACCTTCCAGGAGTTTTATCGTTCGCTTTGCAGGGAAAGCAGAGAGGAAAAATCCAAGCGGCGAGAACATCGACGAATGTCTGAAGAAATTGTACAAGAAAGTTCAAGATAATATAAATGGATTACCACGAGTTTGTTTGGAGATTAACTCTGCAGATGTTACGATTCGATGGATTCAGAGTGAAACCGAACATCAAGAGGAAATAATAGTGCCCTTTACTCGAGTATCTTTTGTTGTGGCAGATAAAAAACATCAACTGTTCGCTTTCAATGACTTCGTTTCCCAGAAACCGAAAAAAGTTGAGTGTTATGCTTTCATTTGCACTGAGTCGGAGAAGTCTGATGTGGTAGCGAATGCTTTCTCAGAAGCGTTCAAAGAAGTCCAGGAGAGACCAAGGAGAGGCTCAGGTCTAGACGCGAAAGTAGAAGCTTAGGAAAAAGTACTTGAGGACTTACAGTTGATATCATTAGAGATTAGGACTAAGACTAATTAATAAGAAGCGTTGTAAGAGAGTATGTTTTGGTTTGCTTGTGAAGTGTGAATTTACACAAGGAAACAAAACAATTCCGTGTTACAATCTGATAATTAATTGTATTTTAAGCCATGATCACTCGGTTGATCTTAAAGAGAAGTAGGTAAAGGCATAAACGTTTTTGCAGCGAAAATATGATAGAGTAGAAAAACCTTCCTTGCCTGCGCTTTGTTGGGTTTTCAGCTGGAAGGTTACGATTGCATAAACAGCTCTTAAAAAAACGAGAAATTGTGATCTATTCGAGAAGTTTATACGAAAGACAAGACTGACTCAAGACTATCAATTACGTACGAGACATTGTGTGTCTTTCAAGAAAAGTTAAACTTCCTTACATGCGACGGGTAGACTACCGTTCTTTAGGGAAAAATCTTATCGTTAACTGAGCGTCCTCGGAGATACAAAATCGCTTTAAACTAACAATGAATATATTATGAAGGCACGAAATGCTATGCGTAAGTAATTTGCACAAGACTTGATGATTGACAAAGATCTTTCACATATTCACCTTCTACGGGCATCAGGTTATTTTGATAGATCGAGTGTAATGAAGGATTTGCAAAGATGTTTAACTGATACCGATAAGACTCTTAAAAGATTTCTGTCAGCCATGCATGTCCGAGAAACTCAAGACGAAGACGGTCTTGAGGAAGTGTAAGTTAGCGACTTCTTTGTTATCTGGAACTGAAACAAGGGTTCTTTTGGTCTTTGTTCTCGTATCATTAAACATTCATTTCTGTCTTAACCATTTCTTTTATTCATATACAGTACCTACAATAATAATAAACATGAAAAAATGACTCAGTTCTGATTGGTTAAGATAAATGTAGTTTTCAGGTAATTCCATGCAGAAGAAAGTTAATTCAGCGCAAAGAATCAACAAACCAGACTGAACCTTGAACTGTTTAGCCAGACTCTGAACTTTTTTGCGCCTTAAAGATGTGAAAATATCATTGTATGTTATTGTTTTGATCGTACGCGGTTGTTTTGACCGAACGCACAATGTCACTTGCAGGGTGTGAATAAATTATTTTTGCACTTGATGCGCGCGCTTTGATTCTGCATAATTATGATAAGCTATCTCGTATCTTTTCATGTATATTAATAATCTGAGGTAATCACATGATTTTTCACGTGCAATTTGGAAAGCTTTGCATCTTATTGTTCAAGTTGTATGAAGTAGGTTATCCTGAACAATAACGGGGTTCTCGGACTAATTTCGATACTCTAGTGAAACTTTCCCTTGCAGCTTGTTGTTTTTCTCTTGTGGTGGTGGTGGGGTTGTGGCGGAGGCCGCTACAACACGGGCATCCCGCAGAAGTAAGCGGGTCACCTGAGGGCAGCCTGTCACCCCTAGAAAAATTAATAGTGACTCTAGCCACAAGATCTGGCGTCACCCAGATCGTTATTTTCCTTACTCATTAGTTTAAGGCAACTCGTCAAAAGTAACATCAAATTTATTATACTCCTACATAAATACGGTCCTTGTGGGTGACTGCATAAAGCTTTACCATATTTTTTTTCGTTTTTCACAATAATTGATGTTTTAACATCGTTTACATGCGATATTGTTCGCGAAAGACTAAATTTAATCGTAATTAAGCAGAGGAGCTTATTAAGGCAAAGCAAACGCTACGGTAGTTAACAGGCTGAAGATCCAAAACTTTTGTTACGCATGCGCGTAAGGTATTCCACCTGAAGAAAATGCAAATGAAGATTTTGACCCTTCTTGTCGTGTTTCAAAGCATTTAGACTCAAAAAGAGCAGAATAAGCCAATATTATTCACCACACAAGACACAAATACAAACTGATGTAATATTAGGAAAAGGGATCTGATGCAAATTTAGCCTAGCCTCAGTCTGGGAAACCGGATAGCGGTAGGGGTCACTGATATTTTGCGATAAAATTTGTTCCGTAGGATGGAAAGGATCTGTTTACATTATTGTTTTGTGTGTGTGCAACTAAGCGAGTAATTTTGCTGGACGAGATCTTGAGAGAGATAAAGAAAAAGAAAAGTTAGAAAACAGTGACGTAAAACTCGTACTTACGAGAGGGTGATTTTATTGAGCTCCGCCAGTTTCATCTGAAGTGCGCCCCTTAACTGTGTCATAACATTTGTTTCTTTGAGTCCGATGAAGACAATGATGACAATTTTGATAGTCTGTTTGGTAGGAAGAGACGACACGAATTCCTGGAAAGACAAACCCAGCGTATGTGCTCTAGAACGAAGTCAGCCAACCATAGCATGCCATTCTTAATAAACACAGCACTCGGGAGAAAGTTCTGGAGAAAGAATGGAAACTTAAATATTGGTAAGACACGAAAGTGCTTGGTCACACGAGCTATTTAAACTAACCAAATTTTAATTAAAAACTGCTCAAATGAGACAAATGTTGTTACGAGTATCTATCATTTGCATCACGTAAGAAAGTTCAGGAAATTTCTCTCAGTTCTGGCCGACTCGACAAACAGGATGTTAAAATTTTCTGCTCTTTTGCACATGACAATGCCGTATCATCTTTTAAAATTTAACATGTAGTGACGCAACCGTAGGCAGGCGGTCTTTAAATTTAGTGATTCGACCAGTTTTCCATTTAAAATTTGTTTGTTTGGCTGTTATTTAGGACACTGTAAAACAATTTACATAGTGAGAAGCCACGTACAAAAAGCATAACACAAGCGTAAAATACGACTTTAAACACTCTTCCGTTTAAACCGCTTAACTATAAATATGCGACAAACCATAACTTCGCAAAAAATGCTTCTTCAAGTTCTTGGACTTTGAGTATTTAAAATGTGTGTTAATATTTCCTCAGCGAGCAAAGTTACCGTGGGAAAATTCACCCTCCTAATCTCACAACAAGAACAAACAATAATTTGTTGAAAAAACTTTTTGGTTTCCTGAATTAAAGGGATCAATTTTGCGCTTACGCTGTAGTTACAAATTGTATACCCATTTTTAGGGTAATTGCACATGTTATTTTCTCTCTGATCACGAAACAGCTCTGAATTCTTGATGTTCGTTTACCATTAACGTACAAACTACGAATATCGGAAAAAAACTTCACATTCCAGGGAAATTTTTTAAGGGGAAATCAAACGATATATGTTGTTATGACTTGTCATTCCTGTCGATAGCTGGAAAGTGTGACAAACAGAATGCTGTGATGACGTAAACAAGCTCGTCCGAGATAGGTCATGACGATGCGGCTGAGTGATTTGAAAGAAAAAAACCTCAATATTCCGTCATTTAAATTTATGCTTTGCATCACTGTCTTTGTCTAGATAATTCGATAAAATGGGCAGGATTTTTCCTTCGTGAAGTCATTCTGGAAACAGAGCAGTTGTAAAAATGCATCGCTGGAAGACATCTCAGTTTACCACTGTGAAGACTCCTAAAACTTAGTCAAGGACTCGTGGGAGTACATACATCGTATATTTGTAAGTTTTAATATGGAAAGTGAAACTTGCTTCAAAATTGTCCTAATTTATTTAACCGAAATTTCTTCGGCATCCAACTCTACTTGAAGTATCAAAGGCATCATTAAATAGATTGATACACTTCCTAAAAGAAAACTACAAAGCTTTTAGAAATGTAGAATACAGTCTTAGTTAGGTCTGTTTTATAACTTGTAAGTGCACCTTATTTCTATGCAATAGGCTCAAGCTGCTATTCACACATTATTCGCTTGAAATGTTTTCTAAGGATGACCTAAGGCCTAATATCACTTTAATTTAAGCTGCAAGTTATTCAGCTCGCATTTAAAAGAACGGTAGCTGTCTGAATTCGTCACTAAGCCTGGGAGAGATCTAACGGTGAACATGCTCTGCGCGACAAATTATAAGCTAACCCCCCCCACCCCTGCTATCAATCTTTGTTTCCAAGGCAGTCACACTACGATGCCCTGTTATTTTAATTCACTTACAGGTATTTTTAGTGTATACGGATTAGGAGGGCGAGACCTCTTTGCATTTTTAGTCGCTACCTTTTGTTACATGAAACAGAGGAAGCTAGGAATCGAGCAAATGGAAATATATTTAAAAATATAAATTTGGATCAAATAACCCTTACCGAAAGACTTCCTTTACATTCAAATGATCCCAAAAAGATCATATCACCCTTAAAATATGCAAAGTACATTTGTGGGAATGTATTGTACCGAAAGAAATTAATCCCTGGATATCGTTTCACTGTGTTCTTTTAACTTTTTTAAATTTCGAACTATTTTTTTTACCCTGCGGCAGCAAAAGAAATTGTATCAATAACTAAGCACAACTACAAGTTAAGAGAGCACAATTCAATCAAGTTCCAGACAGATTTTTATTGCTGTCTATAGCAGGAGAGAAGTGGTAGTAACTATATTGTATCACTAAAATTTTGAATGTCCCTCCGACCTTAGCGGCAATATCGTGACGGAAAACCCATTAACTGCGCTCTCATCCTCCATATAAGGAGGCGTCAATTGATATTTGTCACTTTCATATTCCCTACGGGACCGTTGGAAGCCATTGAAGTGCATTCGAGCACATCTTGCAGTTCATAACACATGTAAATTAGTTGTGTACATATTTTTGACCAGCTTTCGAAATCGGCATTGTTTTCACGGTTGTTTTATCTTGTCAAATATGTAGAGAGGGTGTGTACGGAGCCAAGGAAGGAAGCCTGAAAAAAGAAATTGTGTTTAATAGGGGCGAAGAGGAGGATTCAGTGATATGACTTCCCTAATCGAACGCGAACAAGCAAGTATAAAGAGCCCCAGAAGTCCTGGTCGACCGAGTAGTGGCCAGTTTAGCTTCAAGGGATCTCTATACGTGGCTCACAATGAGAAAGATTGGATCGAAATTCAGAAGAACACGTTCACAAATTGGTGCAACGTTCAAATTCATCCGTACGGTGTACAAATTACGAGTGATCTAGCTGAGGCGTTCCAAGATGGACTTTCACTTGTGTACCTGGTTGAATCGATTTCCACGAAGAAAGTTGGTCGATACAACAAGAACCCGAGGCTGTACGCACAGAAACTTGAAAATATCACCAGCGCTTTGAAGTTACTACAGAGCGACGGGATAAAGTTAGTCAACATTGGTGAGCTATTTAAATTGTTTCGTGACAGTAATGTACACACAGACATGCTAGACGACAACTGTTCTGCGCTTTTATTTACCTTTCTTGTTCTAAATGTGTCCATTGATACACAGACCAGTGTTAAATAAATATAACGGTGTGTCGAGATTCCTCAAGAACAACACAGCTTAAACATAAATGAGAAAGATATCTTCAAAGATACGATTCAAAATTTCCGCACAAGTTTCCAGTTACAAGGCAAGAGGTCTTGGGAATCACGCAAAAATAGCACGATTCCTCGCACAGCTGAATTTGTTTTCCTCGTGGAATACTGATAGCTCGTTGTCTAAGAATACCCTATTCGTGAATATGTCGAATGCATTGCAGACAAGTTTCGAAGCCTTTCATCAGATGCTTGCCAAATATTGCACGTGAATCGAATGCACGCAAATTGGAATCGAAAATAGGTTCTGTTAACGGTGAGGGAGTTTCGTATCTCTTGAGAATCTGCTTTGGAAGTTTTAATCTGCAATGAACGCTACTTCTGTTGTGGCTGAAATACGCGAAAAACTTTCGTTTGCCAAGAGACTCTGTAAAATATTTATAATATCGGTCTACCAGTTTCAAAGATTATAATGTTTACGTATAATTCCAAAACTATAGTTTTTAATTTTTCCCTTCAATTAATTCACAAAAGACCACGACCTTGAGTTCGGAAAAGACCACAACAATAACAAATTTAAAATTTTTAACTCGGAGGGCGGTGAGAATAACAAAAGATAATTTTTTTTCCCGTTGTCTTCCTGTTTCGAAGCATCGATGTCATTTTTTACTTTCCGTTGCATTCATAATTTTTTTTCCGGTGCGTTTTCCTTTTGTTATTTATTAATCGACTCTGCCTATAAACATTCAAGGAACGACGATTCTCTTTAACTGAATACTAACGCTTCCAGCTTTCTTAAAGACTCTACGATATGGCCGATCGTTGATTGTGGTTACTGCAAGAATCGATTTTCACAGCTTATATTTTTGTTGAATATCGTGGCGACGTGACACTGGCCGGGTGTAGACGAACTCCAATCTATCCAATAAGAAACAATCTTACTCCACTTGATGCCTTTTGTCTCGACGCACGTACAGACAATAAACTCTTCCAAAATTGTTTTTTCTTTTTTTGCTATTTTATACCGCTAAATCAACGTGGGGGAAAGCGGCAGTTGGTTAACCAAACCACAACTTTCGTTTAATCTTTGTCAGTTACTGAAATTAGTAATTTTTTTTTACCTAATGCGCCATACCGTCAAATATATATTGCACCACATAGGGTTTAATAAATATTGGCTTTGCAACAAGGCACTTGTTCGCCCTTTTTGCTTTGCAAATTAGTCAAATCAGACCTCCTGCAAATTTTTGAAAGCAGAACATCAACACAGCAAATTAAACGTTAAGACATCCAGTCCAAAATATTTCGTAAGGCCACATATTGACGATTCTAGGAGAAGTAAACACTTGTTCAAGACAAAAAAGATCCTTTTCCGCTAGCTTGCGAAAGAGTCGTTTCCGTTTCCTGTTAGCCAAGCTGAAAAAGCGTTAGATAAACAAGAGGTGGACGCAGTCAAAGACCTCATTTTTTTTTTTTGCGCGCATGCACGAGAGTTCGTTTGTTTTTTTTCTTCATAATGAATAAAGGGGTAAGTTTCTAAAGAAACTGTGGTGCTGCGTCGGTGGGAGAGTATAGCAGGTAGTTTAGTGTTAACAAGTGGGTTGAAAACGTAAATTAGCCGCCGTAAAGAGTAAAAAAACGTCAGCTTTTTTGCTCTTTACGGTGGCTAATTTACGTTTACAACCCAGTTGTTAACGCTAAATTACCTGTTTTTTTCTTCCTCTGCCACGCGTGATTCCCGCTCACTGCACGATTCTCTTGTTAGGCCGGGGAAAGGAAAAGAATAATGCCTAGGGAAACTCTCTCCCTTAGGAAGAATAATCTACTTGATTTGGCAGTAAACTCTCACCGGTCTCTCAAGGCGGTGGAGGAGAAAAGAGATAGCGATTTGAATGCGATCCCTTGTTTCATAATTTGTCAGTTAGTCTTAGGAACTAAGAATAAGTCATTTTCGATACACTTCTGAATAGTTAAGGGGGTGAGTTTCTAAGGTAACTGTGGTGCTGCGACGGTGGGAAAGTACAACATGGTAATTTAGTATCATCAACTGAATTGATAACGTAAATTGACCACCGTAAAGAGTTCAAAAGCGGACGTATCGAGCGTCAGCCCTTCGTCATTCGCTCTGACGCTCAAAACGTCAGCTTTAAAACTCTTTACAGTAGCTAATTTACGTTATCAACTCAGTTGATAATACTTAAGTACCCTGCTGAATAGTAAAATTTCCTTCGTTAATTTTATATTTTCCAGGGAACGAGGACATTGCCAATGGGAACGTGAAACTAATTCTAGGTCTAATATGGAGGTTAATCCTTCACTATCAGATCAGTTCAAGTGGCAGCGCCTCAGGCAAGCAGCTGCTGTTGTTATGGTTGAAAAATGCAATCCCTGACATGGTAATCCGGAATGTGACAACGGACTGGAACGATGGTAGAGCTCTGAGCGCCCTCAACGAGTTCTGCCAACCAGGTCTGTGTCCAAACTATAAGAGTCTAAACCCAGAGGCAAAACTGTCGAATACGAGCGATGCCATGAATGCTGCTGAGAAAAACTTCGGAATCCCGAAAGTTCTTTCTCCGGAATTCTTCGTCAGTCCCTATGTCGACGAATTGAGTATGATGACGTATTTGTCGTATTATACACAACCGGGCTCCATCGGAGAAAAACGAACACTGCAATTTATCAATGATTCGGCACCAGGCTTGAACGTGCGTAATTTCAACACCGATTGGAATGATGGAAAGAAATTATTGCAGTTTCTTGAAGCTCAGTGCCCTGGGATTGTTCCAGGGTACGAAAATATTGATCGGAATAGTCCGTTAGAAAACGCTAAGCTAGGGCTGGATATCGCGGAGGAGAAATTCGGAGTAAGGAAAGTTTTAACCCCGGAGGAACTTGTCAGTCCCGATGTGGACGAGCTCAGCGTCATGGCGTACATGTTGCAATTTCGTACAGCTGATAAACTGCAAAGTCATGCGCACATCTTCAAGGCGGACGGCAACGGAATTAAGCGGGGAGTTCGCGGGAAAACCTCCGAGTTTTTTATATACGGTCGCAAAGATATCGGTTTTGATGGGGTACGTGTCCATATCCGAGGTCCGGACGGGGAGGATTCCGTGCCAGTAGAAACACAAGTTGAAGCAGACGGCTCTCTCAGGTGCAAATTTGTTCCCTTTGAAAGCGGCATTCACACGATCTCTGTAAAGCACTACGGTAAGGAAGTCCCTAAGGGCCCCTTTCAAGTAATGGTGCATGAGAACGTGGCAGATGTTACGGTTTCTGGCGTAGGGATCAAGAATGCTGTCGTCTTCAAACCGGCAGAGTTCATTGTTCAAACCAACGACGAGAACTCCCCCCCGGTCTCGGCGGTAGTAGAAGGACCGACCAAAACAGCGAACTGCAATATGGAACCTCTTGGAAATGGAAAGTGGCGGGGATATTTTGTACCGCGGGAAGTGGGAGAGCACAAGATTCGCATTGAGGTCGGAGACACACCCCTGCTCGGAAGTCCCTTTACAACGAAAGTAGGAGATCCAACCAAGTGCAATGTAGCTGGGAGCGGTGAGTGATGCTACCTATCAATTAAGTCACGCAATACTTTGTCACTTAACAAATTATCATGTCACGTGAAGAACACAGTTGCATAACATGAAGGCGATTTTCGTTGTTTAGCAAGTCATTTAGTTGCTCAATTATTTTTCATTTTTTTCCCGCAGAAACTGCTCGCAACCCGACCATAGGACGTCCCTCCTCCTTCGATGTTGATACTTCCGGGGCGGGACTGGGGGAACTGGCTATCCAATGCCGGGGCCCCGTAGGGAATGTCCCTGTCGACGTGAAACCCACTGCACCCGGACGATACAACGTATCGTTTACTCCTAACAAGCCCGGGGAATATAATATTCACTTCGTATTCAACGGGGATGACATACCGGGAAGTCCAGTCAAGACGATAGTGAGTGATCCCAGCCGGATTGTAGCTCACGGAGATGGTTTGCATCAGGTACGACGTCAGGTTCTGTTTATCATCATTCCTCTTTCCTCATTCGGGAGTCTTGGTCAAACCAGATTTTTTGCAGTCATCTCTGTCACGCACAACAATAGCTACGTGTGTCCAAGGTCTAAGAAACTCTCAGCATTAGGACCATAGAAATTTACGATTTTTCTCGAAAACCAACGTCAATCTCTCAATCAGTCAGATGCAAAACTTAAACGACTCGTTACTCGACCAACCGCTTTCTCCCGTGCTTCAAGCAGTTTGTTTGTTTTAACTTTGATTTCTGGTTGGCTCCTTACTCCTTATCGTATTCACTCTTGTTCTAGTTTTGGGCTTACAGCACTTAATCTAAAGCCCTAACTACTACACAGAAAATTTGAAAATCATTGATTTACTTCGATAATGTATCTCTCCACAATTTCAGGTGACTACAGATTCTGAAGCAGAATTCTTCATTACACTTCATGGCGCTGGTGATGGAGAACTGAAAGTGTATGGCGAGGCTCCATATGGGCACTTTCCTGTGGATCTGCTACAGTCCCCTAATGAAAAGGACACCTACATTGTGCGGTACACTCCTCAGGGGGTGGGTCTGCACAAAA